GCCCATCCCAAATAAGCGAAAGAGACCCACTTGCGGAGCTAGGTTAAGCCAATAAGAAAACAACGTTGAGTGGCTTAACCCCCGTCTCCCGGGGTCTGGCTCTTGCTTCCCGCCTGCCGTACATAAGGTACCTGAGGTAGCGTTTCCCTTCTTCCTCCTTGCCCTTCGCCTTATTATTTTTAGTCCTCTCCTCTCCTCCCCTTCTACAAATCTTTTACAAAACAACAACTAATCCCGTCGCGTCCGCAATCCAGTCTTTTTTCGTCGCCTGCAACCACCATTTGGTTCAACGCACCGGGCTGTCCAAGACTATCTTGACGCGTCTCATACAATTTCAACCGCGTTCCTACTATATTTGATAAGTTCACATGTAAGTCCGCTCATGCCCACGCCCGCTTTATCAACCCTACCCTCGATCTCAACCTTGCACTTTCCCGCACCGTGATCACACTTTGCATTCACCCCAATTTCACAACAACACATTAGAAAAACAGCTTCCACTGTTCCACATTATATGATTACATTTGCACTATCGCTAGAGAACCAACTTGTATGCGCCACCCCGGACAGAAGGCTGACTTTCAGCCTTGCAGGATTCATTGTGCGGCTAGGTAGTTAACAACCTTTGGCTTTTTTAAGAGCCGATAGGCACAATGGTAAGTTGTGACTACACAATCACACACTAGGAGACATAACAGCTAAACTTTTATAGGTCCTATTCAAGCGCAAGCCGGTGCAGTTTCTGCAAACCCCACCGGTTGAAGATGAGTCCATAGAGGTAGCATACATCTTCAGGTTTCACACATTTGCACGCCCCCCAACTAACACCGTTCAGGTCTGGCATATCCCCCAAACAGGGGAGATATTTATCACCTACGAAGACTACTTAAATCGGTAAGTTCTCTAAACTTAAACTAATCTGACATTTACCATGCTAACTTATTCTTAACTAGTATGGACTTTTATAATCAGGTTGGTATCCCGAATGGACTTTGCTTGCCCCCTTAGTAGTTGGCTAACATATACATATGTATTTAGCCTCGTTTTATTTGTCAAATCACAGGCCACTCTGGTCTATCTTTCTTTGAGGCTCTTAAGAGCGAGGTAGGTTCACTGAAGATTTTGTCGCATGTGTGTTGCATTCCTCTAATTAGTAGTATAGCTTGCTGGCGCACAAGAAGTTGACCAGGCATTCCCTGAAGCTCTCAAGGCCCCTGTTTTGCGCCGTGTTCAGTTTCAGACAATTTCACGCATTGACACGTTGGTAGATATGATCTACGACGAGTTCAAGGCTGATTATTATCCTGGAGAGTCAGTCATGGTACAGCTAATGAATGGGGAGCGCGTAGCAGGAACTGTCAGAGACAAAGCTCGTCTAGGAAGCAAAGTACTACCAGACGGAACACTCACACAACCCTTTTCACGCTACATGATTAGTATTGATGGTAGGCCGGGTGAGGAAGCTGTTATGGATGGTGATCATGTCTACCGCGATAGAAAGATTTTCACTAAGTCAGTATTGCGATCTTTTATCAAGAAGACGGTGACTCGAGAAGCATGGACAGGCGCACCTTGGTTGGTTAAGCACGATGTCGCGGCGCAGTACCATATCGATACCCGAGTACCACCTCACCTGCGGTACGACAACAAACTGCTAGAGCGAAAGCAGCACCAAGCCCAGAAGAAGGCATCGCAGCCAAACAATGGAGTGCAGGATATGAATGGTATGGGCGGTGCTTTTCAGAGCTTCGGCCCGGCTCGATTACCTGAGCTTAAGCCTGCGCCTAAGAGCCATAAGGCTATCAAGACTCACCACAGCCAGTCACCACATCACCAGGACATGGATGTCCACAATGACGTCAATATGTATCTCCCACAAAATCAGGGATCGCATCCTCAGGTACCCGGAGATGTGTCTTATCATTTTCCCGTGGCATTCAGAAACAGCATGGCTCCGCCACCCGCCCAACCTCAACCAGAACTACCACCGCCTCCTCCGCCGCCTCCGAAGTATCCCATTGAGGATCTGCAGCTGGAGCCCCGTGACGATTACGTTCGACCGGCACTGAAGTTCATGTGCAGCGATCCTCCTGAGGGTGTTGTTGATAGTGTTGCACGAAATGACAAGATTCTGATGAAATCTATCGGCTCGCTACTGGAAACGTGGGTAACACTGAACGTTTACTGCGAGGTCTTCAAATTAGACTCGTTTACTTTTGACGATTTTGTCGAGGCGGTAGAGATCACTAAGGAAGATACTCCTTGTCAGCTATTTACTGAGATCCACTGCGCAGTCCTAAAGCAGGTAGTGAGCTCTGAAGCCGACGGTGGTCAGCTACTGGTCGATCTTCCGGAGCTTGATGACGATGAGGAGGACGAAGAGGAGGACAGTGAACCCGCCAGTCCCGAACCCGAGCCCGAACCAAAGCCGACAGGACGTGCTACTAGAAGTAGTTTAGCCAAGTTAGAAGCAGAGAGGATCAAGGCTGAGGCTGCTGCTGCTGAGAAGACCCCGGAGCCCGAGATTAAACACCGTGCCCCCGAGGCTTTAGCAAACTTTGACTGGGTCGAGCAGCTCAAGAAACGTGAATTTCAAGATGGTGGTTGGGAGTTGATTATGGTTGGAATTCTACACCGGCTGTCTAAAAGGCCGTGGCAGACTGAGGCTTGTGAAGAGGTGTTAGCCAGCCTCGTACCTCCCGATATCGAGCCGAGCCAGGAGACAGTCCGTCAACAATACAGCAAACTTGATTTTAATCTCCGCGTTTCGGCTCTTGAGATTGTCTGTCTGCTAACTGTCAGCACCAAGGCTGTCCGTGCATATATTGATGAGTGTTCTGAGACTCAGACGGGCTACAGGAAGGAAAAGATCGAATGGCAGAAGCAGAAAAAAGCAGCGTAAGTTGGAATTCGGTTTATCCTGGGATTTGATATACTGACCGTTTTTGCAGCAACGAGGAACTGAAAGGCTTTTACGATCAACACAAAATTCTCCTCCCGGAGAATATGCCTCCGTCACCGCCAGCAGAGGAAGCCGACATAAAGACTAATGGCGATGTGAAGATGACCGATGCTGACGATTCGCCTGAAGAGCAGAGCGAGGCTGAAGATAGTGATATAGACGCGAATACTCGCCATAATACTCGACGAGGTGGCAATCGTGCAGCAGAACGTCAGCGTAAACGAGAAGAAGAAGAACGGAAGAAGGAAGCCGAGCTAGCTGCTAAGGTGCCGAAGCAATCTAAGCAATTCCTGAAGCTGCAGAAGGATATCCAGAAAAGGGAAACCACGGTTAAGAAGTGCGAGAACGAAATTAGCATCTTGGACAATGACCTTCGAGAGGCAGATTGTTTCCGAACCCGGCCTCTTGGTAAGGATCGATTCTGGAATCGGTATTACTGGTTTGAGCGTAATGGGATGCCATATGCTGGATTACCTACCAGCTCAACGGCCCATGCAGGCTATGCAAATGGTTGTATATGGGTCCAGGGCCCTGATCAGATGGAACGAGAAGGATATATCGATATGCTCCCAGAGCACCAGGAAGAGTACAAGGCGAAATTTAAGATGACGGTTCCACAGAGGAAAAAGATGGAAGAAGGTCGTACCAGCGTCTTCAACGCTTACCAATGGGGCTATTACTCAGAACCGAGCGAGGTTGACTCACTTCTGAACTGGCTTGACCCTCGAGGTTTCAACGAGTCCAAATTGCGAAAGGAGATCTTGGCCTACAAGGAGAAGATTGTAACACATATGAAGAGCCGAGCCCAGTATCTCTGCCAAGAAGACGAAGAGGAGACCAAGGAGACCAAGGAGACGGTAAAAGAGAATGGGAAGAAGGAGGAGTCTAAACGGATGACAACCCGAAAGACTCAGGCTAGTCCCGAACCTACGCAATTCCGCTGCCTCAACTGGACCAACAATGTTGCCATTGAGGAGTTTGGGCACCTCCACAGCGAGCCTCCCCCGCAGCCAAAGACGAAGGGCCGCAAGGGCCAAAGGAAGAGCCGGGGTTAATACCAATGTCTTCCAAAATTGGACTATTGAACCATATCAAAATTGCCTTTTTTCACGCAATCATTAATTGATTCCCAGTACATAGACACGCGAACAAGTAAGCAAAGAGTTACGATTGAAGACGGCGTTTAACTTCGACGTATCATGTTTTCTAGAGGGCGGCAACGAGTAGAAAAAAAATTCATCATTAATGGCCGGCACGGCGTTACGGGCGAGTCAAGGTGTTTTCGGAATGGAAATTATTTTTCAACGATAGGTGTTCGCCTATCCATACCTAGGGAGGGGAGAGAGGGAGTTTTCAACGTGAGAAGTCAACTGGTACTACTACCACGACACCAGGGGAGATGGGGGACGGTCGGCATGCCCTGTACATAGGTGCTGTAGGAGATACGTAGGTTAGGACGGGTGGATGCGTATTGGCATGGCCTGGTCTATAGCTCAAGCTTGGCTATCCAATGAAGAGAATTTTGCCACAGTTTATCTTTCCTAATGATCTGGCTTTGTGTGGTTGTAGACTACCAAACCTATGTATGTACATGTAGTCACTATAGGATATGTACCATATTAGTTATGTATAGGTACTTGTTAGTACAGTTAAGTTGCCAACTTAAACACCTATTATCTATTGCCCGAAACAAATGGAGGGAGTGGTATAGTCTTTATATTTCAAGACTTGGATTCTTGCTGTATAGTAGAATGATAAACTTCTATTATGCTTCTTGTTCACAATCCCTGACTTGTTGAAATAGTATACTTAGCATGGCTTTTAAATAGGTAGGTAAGATAATTATTATCAAGGTATTAATGTTCTCTTTACTCCTTATAACTTATGTACTGAATTACATCTTCTCACTATTTTATAGTAAGATAATAATAGGCACGTAGTCGCCCGGCTCTTATATACCTTGATTGTTAACGATGTGTAGTCAAGTCATACAGCCTAAATTTGGTTGTCGCGTAGTTATAGTAGTACGATGAGATAATTGAGTGGTTAATATGATTGCTTCGAGGCACTTGTGCCTCATAACCAAGTTTTATTTATCTGCGAACGCCTCTAAATACACTGTAGGCCAAAGTCTTATCTCCTTCCGACTCGATGCCCTATGTCAGATCAGTGTTATGCGAATTCAGCTTTCTCTCTTCCTAGATAAAGCCAAGGGACGTAATTAAACAGGGGATATCATGGTGAAAACGGGACGAGCCGTATTATTATTTCCCCCTCACATCAAGCCTAGAGAGCTTCCTCGTCGTTTTCTCCAACCACTAGGGTTCGTATAGTTTGCACACTCGTCGTAGAAAGAAAATAAAGAAAATGAGCGTTGTAGCACTCCTCGCGAAGCAAGGTCGCGGCTACTGATTTGTCTTCCGCGGGCATTAGTATTCTGTGGCCCCTGTTACTGTTTGGCTGGTTCGTCTATGGAAAGGAGGCCGATATTCGTATTGTGGCAACCGCACTCACACAATGTTGCAAAGTGGCCGTCTTCGGGCACTATTATGTTAGTATCAAACACAAGTTAGTGACAACTGCAGCAGATCAGTCGGCACCTTAGGAGATTCGGAATGAGCATGGTCAAGGTATAGTCCGGTGTTGTCGGAGAATTGGCTAATACTCAGCCCACAGCAGCGGTAGGTGTCTGCAAGGCAGGCTGTGGTCGTTTCGCGGGTGGCGGGTTCCCCTAAATTGCGTGTTAGTCAGCTCCATAAGGCTACAAGGACCTCCCTGGATATCCTGGCGGTGGTCACGATATTGGCCATCTACCATGTATCTCTACATACTTCGGACGAGGCGTTGCGCTTCTTTTGGCCGACTCCGGCATCGCCGTTTGCAACTATCTTTCTAACAGGGCGGGGACGCGCTGGTTTGACTTCTCCGGGCTCGAAAACGTCGTCGGGAAGATTTGTACTGGAAATTTTAGGTCAATAATTGCAATATACCGGTTTAGTAGTGCACTCACTTCTTCACGTGTTGGATACTGAGGTAGTTCAAGCTCGGCTCGTACTTCTCCCATTGACTGCACAGATCCTTAAATGTGTTGACTTGGAAAGAAAGATCCAATGATTTTGCGCCTAACATGTCATCAAGCTTAGGTTAGGAATCACAGCGGAGCGTTCGCTGGCTCGAAAAGCCACATATAATATGTACACAAAAACAGGATGAAGTAGAGGGGCACTCACCTTCAGCAAGCTCGAGGCCTACGTAGTGCGTCGTGGTGTATATCTTCGTTTCGTGGGGGGCTGCATTGGGTATGCTCTCCATATCAATTTTCTGGTCCTCAGAGTCGGACTTGATATCCAAGCTCATCGATTCGCCATTCTCAACTTTGATCGCGGGATTCTGTTCTGTCTTGTCCTCAGTCTTGACTTTAACGCCATTCTCGTTCTTCACCTTGGTGTCATCTTCACTATCGTCATCTTGGACAAGGTAAGTCAGGTTTCCATTTCGAACCTCTTCAGTTTCCTGGTCGTTCTTGACCTTGTGCACCCTTTCATATCCTTTATTGAATGGGCGCGCAATCGCAACCGAAGCATGTCGTTCCAGATCCCCCACTAAAACACGGACTTTGGACTCCACGAACCCAGACCATATATTGTGCGCCTCCTTGGTAGTACTAGTCGCAATGACGGCCAAGTAATACTTGTGGTCCGCAGTGAAGAACGTGTGCTTTACAAAGAGATCCTTCCACGCGAGCTTTCCAGCTCTTATCCTATCAGTGAGATCAGCGCCCCGTTCCAGCTCGCGCTGTATGATGGCCATGGTAGAATGTGTGATGTTGAAGGTTGCACACATCTGAGGATAAGCAGGAGTGATTACGGGCATTAGGTGATAGCTGTCGCTTTTGTATATCTGCGGCTCGTTAACCAAGTGAAACTTCTAATTTGCTCATGTGAATGAATACCGACCTTGGGATTCCAGACACGGACATTGAGCGGCCCCTCATCCATGTGCTTCAGCTGCACAGGTATAGGCCACTGCCAGACTTTCATGATTTGAAAGAATTTCGAAACAATAGTAGCACTCGCTGCCTTCGGATAGAGTTGGCAAACCCGTGCCACCATCATAGCCCACACTACTCCACCGGGAAACCCGATAATGTTGGCGTAGATGGCGCGACGTGTTGCCCATAACTTGATGGCTCGAAGGGCAAGGCGAAAGGTGCTCTGCTCCGGGACTAGGTTCAAAATTTCTCTCGTGACTCTGGTTCCGTTGAGGGAGCGGAGCTCACGATCATCTAAGCCACGTAGGTATTCATTGTTATTCAGATTGAGTTGGCCATGTGGTGGGAACTGCTTCAACGTGGCTATTCTTGAGAAGATCAGATCAATACTGATTCCCCAATATTCGAACTTGATGATAGGTACAAATGCATCTTCTACAGCAGTAAGATCTGTCACTGCACCCTCGGGGGCCATCTCTTGTAGTAAAGAAGGGAAGTGTTTAAAATAATCATCACGGGTGACGTATCGGGGAGCAGTGACGAGGGTATCAATATCAGAGCCGGGACCGTAGACGCCTAGACAGAAACTTCCGTATGTGAAGACCTCGCCGCGAGCATCGCGGATGAGAACTTCATTCTGTGGTTCCTTCTCCTTTGCTACTCGTCTCACAAACTCGTCGGCGATACGTTGAAGGTCGATAAGGATCTTCTCTCTGGTAGAATGGATTTGTTAGTTGCGATTGATTGACAAGTTTCACTACCAGCCAACTACCCAACCTACCTCTTCTTGGTTTCGGCTGCGGATTCAAACGTATTTTGTCGCCGCAATTCTTCTAAGAGAAGATGTGTAGACTGTGTCTCGGTCGGAGTAGGAAGGGCAACTGAAATCGGAGGGGTGATGCCCCAGGTCTGTTCAGAATTCGCCATTGTGTCTTGTTGGGAAGATATGGAAGGATGATGCTTAAGAAAATGCCAGGAAAGGAAATTATCTGGATCTAGAATAAATTAAATAATTAAAAGAAGGTAGAATAATGCTGCGCGAGGGCAGGAAGTTGAAAGGATCTGACTTGGTCTCGTCTGTGACAAACAGCATCGAAAGTCGCTTCGAGAAACAATCACATTGCCTTTGGGGTATCGTCGATGAATTCGGAGTATTCGTTATAAACCTAGGCAAATGCCGCAAGACGACTTGGGCTTCGGTGACTCGCGCGAATAAATGTAAGTAAAGAAAAAGGTACTAAGTTTTATGGGATACGCGTAAAAAGAATTGATGTTTGTTGGAATGAATGATGGCAAGGAAATGGAGACAAAGAAAATACAAAACCTACCTACCTAACCTAACCTTACCTTTACACGTACGTAGGTACCTAGGTAGTACTTTCCTCGGGAACTGATCTGCGACTGTTTATCATTTATCGATACATACCGCGCGCTTATCAAAGAATCGGAACCTTAGTATGTACCTAAAGGTACCTACGGTTAGGTAGGTAATATACCTAGGTATCAAGTCAAATTTAGCATTTAGCACACTAAATAAAATGGCTTTTATTCTTATCAAAGTATAATAATAGAAGACATACTCCCCCCCAAAAAGATCTTTTCAAAAACAAAGAGCTATATTATTTCTATCATCTTGGGTATAGGCATTATCCCTGGTTCTACACAATCATCCAATCATCCAATCTATGCAAAAGCTCAAAATTCAATCTGAAACCCTCTACTCAAATTAAAGCTGGGTTTATTTGGTAAGGCCGATGCTATGTTGTGAGTAGAGTGGCCATCATCCCAAACCATCTTGTACAAATTGTACAAATTGTACAAATACTGGTATATTAAATGTCCATGCCCCAACGCCTTACCCACTCATCCGCAAGAGCGAGTTCGAGGGGATCCATGTGCCAATGCTGCCTTGAGATCCAAAATGCTAATCCTCCAATGACACCAAGGCTACCTATAACCTCTAAAGCAACCCATCCTTTCGCTCTCAAGTCTGCTGCCGCTTGAAGCAGTCCTAGTGGATCTTGGTGCGGTACCGTCTTTGTCGAAGGCCCACGTTTGGATGGTCTTCTTACCCCTACTGAGCCTGTACCTTGGGGCCTATTCAGGGCTACAAGTGTGCCATCTTGCACACATTCGTTTAATCTCTCTGTAAGCCAAATAGCACGTTCTCCTCGAGCAAGTGATTCATACTGGGCTCGCTCACTGGCCAGACTACGCTGAAGATCGGCTGCCCAATCCGCCACATGCATTTGGGGTGGGTTATGGGCCAGTTGGGCCAGTTGCCGGCCATTAAGACGGGCGAGTGCTAGGGAGGAACGTGGACTAATCGGATTTTCTGACGGTCGGCTTGGAAGAGAAAATGACGTTGGACCAGGGAGACTCAACGGCTTGTATAAATGATGAGGGCGCGACGGTGTGGTGTTTCTCCATCCCAGATACTTCTTTGCTGCAGCATGCCGCAGCCAGGATATTCCGCTTGGACTAAAAACGTTCTCTACAAGATATTTTAGTTCCGACGTCATCAGAGGTTGAACATAGTCGGCGCTCATGAGAAGGCTCGCATCCATTATATCGTCGTCCGAGCCTGTCGCACTAGATACAGCATAAGGAATACTGGGTACCGCCGTTGCAGATCCATCATTAGTTGTTAATGCAAAGCTAAATGTTTGAAGGCCCGTCTCTTGAAGCTGGCCGATAAATTGCTCTTTACATATAGCAAGCTGTTCTGGAGACAATGAGTCGGCCTGGGCTAGAAGGGGAATAACGTTTGTCAGTGGTGTTAGTCGGCGGATATATTCTATATCAGTAGGTCTCAGTCCTTCAAGGTTGGTCAGTCCTGGCATCTCCTCGGATTGGACGTTTGCTTACTCTGTGAAATAAAATAGAAGACCACGTCAACTTGGAAACCTCCGTTACCTCCTAACATGCTTAACATGTCCGAATCGCTTAGAGAATCCGACGATATCTTGTCTAAGTGAGATTCGATATATTCAACGGAAGACATGATAGTCTCCATAGCCTAGATGGTGTTAGTATTCCAAATAGTTAACATAATTAGCGCAACCTACGGATGAGCTACTCCGATATCCAGGTGTATCTACAAAACACACATTGCGCTCTAGAACGCTATCGCCTAGACTTTTACGCCTTTGAGAGAGATGAGGCTCATCCAACATCGACCACCATTCTGGATAAGGTTTGGTGCTGGCATATATCTCCGATATGCTAGATGTCGAGTTTGATGCATTTCTAGGTAGGCTGACCTGCTTTTTGTGGGTGTTCGACTCGGCTTGAGATGGAATAGGATCAACATGGACGATATGCTCGCAGGTTTGAACGATTGCTTTGACCATGGAGGTCTTGCCGATACCTAAGGCGGAGTCCATTAGCTAGAGCTAAGGGACGGTCTTGTCAGGAACAATACCAGAGTCACCGGCAAACAACACCTTTAACCGCCCTAGATTCTTGCCTGTTTCGGTGAACGGACGCCGACTTGGCATCTTGATGCTAGGCATTACTAGTTGAGGAGCACTTCCGCTATCTAATGTGTTCGAAGGCCTTTGATCGGAAAAATCCTCGTCGGAACTAACTCCGTGGTCTGAGAGCGACCCAGCAAATGAATTTCTCCTGGAGGACGGGGTGCTGATTACGGAACCCGTGCAGGATGTACCTAGCATGATGGGTGTTATCGGCCGCGAAGGTGATGAATAGTTCTGGGACCTCATCGACGCTGGACTATGTGTGAAGACAGAAGCCCTGGATGATTGGGAGTATGCTGGTATATAATCTCTTTCCCGTTGCATCGTAGCTTGCCTTGAAGGTTCGCTGTCCTTATCATTACCCCGGGGGGGTGGCACACTTGTAGAGGTAGCAGCCTTCCGCGCGTCCAGAAAACGACTGTGCGGGTTAGTCTGCTCGAGGTAAGAATCAATGGTCGACTCGTCGGCAAGGAAGAAAGACATCTGGCTACTACAACTAGAAGCCATAAGGGGAGCTGGATGATGGTCGGCCGGACGCTGACGCCCATGCCAAGCGTGGTCGCCGGGAGAGGGTCGCATGATTGAGGTTTACATCTAGATAGAATATAGGAATATAGGAACGCGCTCGCAGTTTAGGTGACTACAAAGGTATTATATATATAAATACCTGGTATGTATCGGTCAAAGAGGTTGGAGAAGGCTCAATATGGATTGTTAAGGGGAATCACAGGCGGTGGTGGATGATGACATGAGTCGGTATGTATGTATATGTATTGATCTTAAGTCGGGGTCTAAGGTTCTCCTTTTGGCTGTATGGAGGTTGGAGCCGCTCCATAAATGGTTGAATAAAGGGCACCCCGCATCAGATAAGCTCAGGAGGTTGCTTGAGCCAGCTTGGAGAAATAGTGCAGGTACAATACAAGTACAAGCCAATACAGAGTATAACTTAGTTTCTACTATACTCACCAAAGTGGGAATGACGTACCTATTTGTACACCTCCACTTCTGGCTTGTTGAGTGCGGATGGTGCGATCACTTGGGCGTCTGTGAAACTCGACATTGGATAGTGTGGTGTGCATGGATGGTCAGTGGCTTGTGTAAGAGATACGTTCATAAGGTTTAGGTTTGTTAGGTTAGTTAGTTGGTAGTTTAGGTAGGTACCTAGGTTACCTACCTACGTACATCAATGTATGTATTCGTATGCTGCATTACTTACATATGTACATAACTACATAAAGTACGTACTTTCAATTTTATGTACGCCATAACCCATCTTCCCCCATCTCCCCCCTGCTCATGTCGTCCATTCTCGTCTATTTGCCCCTCAACTTCAATCGCTAAACGGAAATCCGAGAATACCTGACCTGCCTTAACGACCTTACCGACCTTACCGACCTGCCGACCTACCATTTTAATCCACCCTTTAAATCCTGAGGGATACGTAACGGATGATTTACTGAAGATTAAGCGCCCTAGTTCAGCCGTATTCACCATAAAGTCTTGCCAAGATTACATTTACTGTCGCTTAATAAAATTTCTCGGGCGCCTCTTCGTCTCTCGTCATCGAAGCCCAGAACCCGCGCCTTGTATTACGACAAGGCTATTTAACTCTCCTTTCCCCTACCTTCACCACGACTTCCAACGCCACTCCCCCCACAGACAACCCTCGCAAACAACCAACGACTTTGGACCTTTTAAGCGAGACTTGTACTGCTGGGGGTATATTGTTTGACCCTAGTTATACCTCTCTATCTCGTCCGACTCATACCAAGATGGACGCAAAGAGGCATCCGAGCTCCTTCCAGCAGCTTGAGAAGCTAGGAGAGGGTACCTATGCTACGGTATGTTTTCCTATGCATTCGAAGTCGTGACAAGATATCCTTTGCTAACTTACATGAGCGTAATAGGTCTTCAAGGGACGAAACCGCCAGACAGGCGAACTTGTCGCCCTCAAGGAGATCCACCTTGACTCTGAAGAAGGCACTCCGTCAACTGCGATCCGAGAGATTTCGCTCATGAAAGAATTGAAACATGAGAATATTGTAGCGCTCTACGATGTAATTCATACCGAGAATAAGCTTATGCTTGTATTTGAATATCTGGACGGAGATCTTAAGAAGTACATGGATTCGCACGGCGATAGGGGCGCCTTGAAGCCTATGACTATTAAATCCTTCATGTTTCAGTTACTGAAGGGCATTGACTTTTGCCACAAGAACAGAGTTCTCCACCGAGATCTGAAGCCGCAAAACTTGCTTATCAACAAGAAGGGCCAGCTCAAGCTTGGGGATTTTGGATTAGCGCGAGCATTTGGTATTCCTGTCAATACCTTCTCAAACGAAGTTGTCACACTATGGTACCGGGCTCCGGACGTCTTGCTAGGTAGTCGAACCTACAACACCAGTATCGATATATGGTCGGCAGGTTGTATTATGGCCGAAATGTACACCGGTCGGCCGCTATTCCCCGGTACGACAAATGAGGACCAAATCATACGTATCTTCCGCATAATGGGCACGCCTACGGAAAGGACTTGGCCTGGCATTACACAGTTCCCCGAGTACAAGCCGAACATCCAAATGTATGCCACGCAGGATCTTAGAGCTATATTGCCTCAGATTGACCAGCTCGGAATCGATCTCTTGCAACGGATGTTAGTTCTGCGCCCGGAGCACCGCATTAGCGCACACGACGCATTACAGCACCCTTGGTTTTCCGACTTGGCCATGCAACACCAAATGCAGCAACAGCAGGCAATGCAAGCCCAAGCCCAGGCCCAAGCCCAAGCCCGAGGCTTTGCGGCTCCAGCCGTGCCCTCGCAAGGCGTTTATGATCAGGGATATTAGTATTATGGTTGACACTAGGCTACAGCTTGGGCTAGCGATTTGTGTCTCAAAGTCTTAGATACACTTAGCACGGATATGGTTTATCAAAGAGCGAGTTGGGTTTATGCTTCATCGTCTTGCGGTTATAGAATAGCCACGACGAAGGTGAGGAGCGGTTAGTAGCCGAATTAGCAGGTAGCGAACTTAGTGTCCTGATGCAGCACGGAAGGGTTACGGGTAGGCAGGCGTTTGGGCACTGAAGGTCATAACGCTCATAGGTAACGACTGCATTTGTAGGGATTGGGAGAAAGATCCATTACTATTAATAAGCACTGAAAAGGATATACCCAATGATTCAAGCCTTCCATCTACTGTTGTACACTTAAAACTAATACTGTACCTATGTATGTGAATCACGGACACGGGACTTACGAGTCACATCTATAAGAAATCTAATCAGATTCTAGAGAGAAGGTGGTGCTGACTGTATTGTGCGACAATAGGGGGTTTGGAGGTAATAACAGAAATTACTTAACGTACTTCTGGCCTACTTATTCTTAAGAGAATATGATTGATAGATATGAACAGAGGTTAAGTAATCTTTATAATGGTAATTGGTTGGTTCTCTTGGCCAAGAACTTGTTATAAGTTACTGTAACACTGGTACCTATCCCATGAATCCCTTCTCAAGATTTACTAGTAACCGTAGCAAATGTTCGTTATGTGCCCCTATATTCCGTCATTAAATTTAATCCAAAACCCACTGCTCTACGATACGCTCAGCTTCGAAACCTATAACAATAACTGATTCTAGTAGCTAATTCTAGATGGTTTACTTCCTCTTGTTGATTAAACTGTCATCAACATTACTCTTGAAGCGGTCTTCAGTCGGCTCCTGAGCCCACGTCTCTGCTAACTCGAAACCTGGCTCTTCTTCCAGATACCCCATGCTCCTGCGAACCTTTGCCACTTCTTCGCGAACCCTCCTCGCGACCTCGATTCTTAGATTCACGGCCTCCTTGCCGTATTTAAGCTCGTCAGTTAGTTCGCCCATTGCTAACCTCTTTTTCTCCTTGCGGACGAGCTCCTGCCACTGCGCGCGAAGGTCCCCGAATTTCTTCTCGGTGTCTAGGAGTTCGCCGAAGGCTACCCGGAACTTGATGGGGAAGCGGGGGAGGAATCGCGGCCATTCCCTGTCTTCGGGCATGATGCGCTGGGGGCCGTCGATGAACATGGGCAGCACGTCGGGCATGGGCTCGCTCTCGAGGATCATGCGCGAAATGCCCCATTTGAAATAACGCATGAACATCTTGGGGTGCTGATGTACGCATGCCTCGGGGAAGATATGGACCCAACTATGCCGGTTTTGAGAATATATAGACGGCGTGACGTATTGGTCTGTGCCGGTAGTAGTGAATGTCGTACCCCCCGAAGTAAACGGGTCTAATATGTCATGAGACTCTTCTAAGGGGGCTGGTGCCGAAGTAGTAAATGGTGACGAAGACAGAAGTCGAATCGCCTGGGGAACTGTAGGCTGAAAGAGTCCCCCATGAGGCGAGTGTCTTGACCTATGAGTCGGTAATACTTGACCAGCATAGAAAAAAGATCCAAGCAGCCTAGCTATATATGTTAGCGAGAGGAGAGGATATATACGAGCGAAGAAATGCGCGCTCACTTATTCTTATAGCATATATCATGGGCCCCCATGCCCCATCTATGATTAGACGGATTGAAGGCATAACTAAATGGTAAAACCCCCCATACGAGAGGATCATCAAGTCTAGACGATGTATTAATTTATAGTTTATAGGATAGAATTATGAACATTGAGGTATATGCTACTTACACACTGACATGATTTGAAACTGATGTAAAATTAGTTTCTCATACTATCACGAGGCCCGCCATCACCCACCAGTAATGAGACCTCTCTGCCTCTTTTCGACATCTTTCCTCTTGTCCAAGACATCCAAGAATCGTTCCAAACCGGTTACCTCGACTGAATTTAAACCATACAAGAAACTCCTAGAGAGGGCGGCAGTTAAGCCCATTATAACAGAAGAAGTCATGCGCCAGGGCAGACTTGGCTGCTGAAGAGGCAGCTTATTGGAGTTGGAGTTGGACATGTCGATTTGGTGAGATGCCATTGACTCTTGTAATTGGAACTCGACGGCATAGCAAATAATGATTTTTACTTAAGGAGAGACTACATGATGCTTCGAAGTTTCCGTAGGCGGGTTCGTATGATGAGGACACCAAAAGAAAAAGGACACCAAAAGAAAACTTGGGTAACAGCGCGAGCGCAAAAAGAAATACTACCTACATGTACGAAGATGTATGTATTACTATGTAGAATTTTTAGCAGGTGCTTACATGTAGGTACCTACCTAGGTTAGGTACTTGAGAAGGTACCGCCCCGTAACTAACGCCGAATTTGATAACGGCTTCTCGCTACATCTGCAAGGACGGGACGATCCCATTACCTAGGAAGATAACGATAGGTACGTTGATACATTAGGTACTAATGTATGTATAGGTATAGATCCCTGTAGTTACGGTACATCAATACCTGTACAAGTACATGTGATCCCTGTAGATACATTGAAGTATATCCACTTTATTTAATGTTCGCGACGTCGAACATGAACTCTACCCGATATTTAATAAAGTACATATCCTTTATACTTATTTCAAGTACCATCTTCAAGATGTCCCACAGTAAGACCTCCCTAACAGTCGCATTGACGGATCTTAAGGAGATAGACGGTATCACTAACATATTTCGCCCTAGGTAAGCGAAACACGTCGCGCGCCGTCTTCACCTCCCACGAGCGGGACCTCGCCAAACGAGCATGGAGCTCGACAACGGCGCGACTTTCACGCGAAAGCTTCCTCCCCTTCTCATCCTGCGGTCTATGCCTCGAGATAGCCCAAGACCCTGTGTCATGTGTGCACGGCGACATCTTCTGCCGCGAGTGCGCCCTGAGCAACATCCTAGCCCAGAAGAAGGAGATAAAGCGCCTCGAGAAAGTTCGCGAGCAGGGGGAGCGTGAAGCCTTGGAAGAAAAGGCGCGCCAGGAGGAAGAAGCTCGCGAGCGCGCTGTTCGCGAATTTGAGATGACACAGATTGGTCTGGATGCAAAAGCGAGGAGTAATAGCAATAATAAAAACGATAATGCTGCTCGGAAAGGATCAATCGATACTCGCGATCAGAACAGCACACCAGCAGCAGTAGAGTTACCTAATGGCAGTGGGAAGAAGCGCAAGTTTGAAATAGACGCGGAGGAATTAGTGCGGATAGCGCAAGAAGACAGGGCAAAGGCACGGAAAGCAATCGACGAAGAGAAGGCAACGAAACCTGTGTTGCCGTCGTTTTGGACCCCTTCGATAACACCATCTTCCAACACGAAAGATGCGCTTCACGAGGTAGCCAAGAAGACGAAGAGCACACCCATATGCCCGGCGTCAAAAGACGATAGTCCACATACGTACTCACTACACACACTTGTGATAGTGAACTTCACCGAAGAGGAAGAGGGAGGCGGTGGGAGCGGTGGCGGTCCAAGTGACAGGAAGAAGCGCATACGCATATGTCCATCGTGCAAGAAGGGGCTAAGCAATGCTTCGAAAGCACTTCTCGCGAAGCCCTGCGGTCACGTCATGTGCCGTAACTGCGTTGATAAATTTATGCGACCCTCGCGGCACCACCACGATCCACACGCATCAGCAGGCGACGCTGCGAGCTTACGGTGCTACGTCTGCGAGGCTGACCTTACAGATCAGAAGGGCAGTAATGATGGGGGTGGTGAAAAGAGCAAGAAGAAGGATAAGGAGAGGATACGACCGGGGTTAGTCGAGCTGAGGAGCGAGGGCACAGGCTTTTCGGCCGGGGGCGTAAACCAGGTGCAGAAGTCCGGTGTGGCATTTCAATGTTAGACTTGACTGCGATATCATAGAAAGAACACGGGACTCGATTATGACTATAATATTAGAATTAATTCGAGTATAGCAACGAGCTAACGCCCGCTACCAACACTGGAAAACACATTATGTATATCCGACCCATCCTGCCGTTAGGTACGCTATGCCTGATACCATATCCTGTATTCCAGCAACCCATTCCCAAACCCAAGCCCAGCCCAAAGTTGAATCGTCGCAAACCTCGTACATGATGCAGCCTGTCATACACTCTTTTCGACCGGCACCGCCCCCCGACCTTTCGCAAACATGTACCCAGATTTACAATCCCCCAACTCCAGGGCCCCGAATGCCCAAAATAAACAAACCCGTCTTTTGGATCCCCCCCCCTCTCCCCCCGTGTCCGAGTACAGCAAGGAGATTGAACAGGAAAGGAAAGGAAAGGGGTGAATATCAGTCTCAACCCATCCGTGAAGTAGTAGAGTAGACTTTCCCCCCCTTAGACAAAGGAAAAGAAAGGGAACGGAAAGAGAAAGCTGGATCGATGTACGCGCGGTGGACAGACCTGTCAAGTAACCCCCCCCCCCCCCCCCCCTTTTTTTTTTTTCCTCTCCAACACCCAACCCATCCCAATACCAACCCTCATCATCATCATCATCATCCCATCTCATCAATAATACTTAACCCCCCTATGCGTCCTATCAATCATATTCGCCACCACGACGCTCGCCCCGCCGTCCCCGTCCTCGGCCAGGAACGACCTGCGGCCCCCGCTGCGGTTCCGCGGGCTGCTCCAGCGGTATCCGTATCCCGCGGTGGGGTACGGCGTCGGCGGGGGCGATGGGAGGCGCTCGTAGCGGTACCGGTCGTAGTTGTTATCGTGTCGGTCGCGGAGGGAGTGCAGCTGCTGGTGCTGCGGAGGGGAGGGCGAGGGTGGAGGTGTTGGGGGGCGGGGCGGCGGGAGAGATGCTAGACGGAGGGGGGAGGGGGAGGAGCGCTGTGGTGGTGGAGGAGGAGGAGGAGGGAGAGATTCAGATTCGGGGTTGAATTCGAGGGGGGGTGCTGTTGGTGCTTCGGGTAGGGACGGTGGTGATGATGATGATGATGATGATGATGATGATGGTGGTGATGGTGGTGATTCTAGTAATGAGGGCGGCGGCGATGACGGGGGCGAGGACATTCGTACCGGAGGCAGTGGAGTGCTAGGCCGGGCCTCAACTATAGCCTCAGGTTCCAACCCAGCTTCGATCCTAGCTTCTCGTAGGCCCCTAACCGAAGTCTCAACGGCAGTTTCAGTCCTAGTTACAGGCCTAACAACAGCTCTACCCCCAACTCCAGCCCTAGCCCTGCGCGCCCGGATCTCGGCCAAGACGCCCGCGACGACCAAGTACAGCTTGAAGAGCAGCTTGTGCACGACGTCCTTAGCCAGCATCGCAGTGCCGTGGCCCAGGAAGCCCCTCACCAGCTCGCCGAAGACGCCATCGTACAGGGCCCCGACGCCCTCGGCGCGCGCGATCTGCACGGCGGCGCCGAACACGCTGCTCTTGCCAAAGTCCTTGGCCGCCCGCAGCGCGTCCGATTGGTAGGCGCCTCCGCCTCCTCCGGGGAGCCGCTCCGGCGGCGCGACGTTCTCTTTGAAGGAGACCTTGCGAGGGACTTCTGTCTTGGGGGATATTGCCTCGTCGAAGGTGACATGGTGTGTCTGCGTCTCCTGCGTGGGGGGCTCGACTGCTCTTTCAGGGGCTTGTGCTGCATCCCCGTTCGGGTTCTTGGGCGCGGCTGGAATGCCGGTTTGTAGTCGGGTATTGGCGGTTTGGAACGGGTATGTGATGGTGCTGGCGATGGTCTTGCTGATAGCCGCGAGGAGGAACGTCATGCGTGCGCCGGGGTTATCCCATCTATCGGCTGAGACGGTCTTTTTCTTGAGGAACTCCTGGAGGAAGAAGGTGATACTCGGGTTCAGAGTAAGCACAAGGCTCGCCGAGTATCCGGACCAGAACCCCGCGAGACCCTGCTCCTTCCGGATAGCTTTGATGATTTCGCGGACGCTAAGATCCCTCCCCTCGCCGTCGACAAGCGAGGCCGTCTGCTTGCGGGTGACCACGTTGGCGATCGGAGTCGTGAAGAGTCTCGAGCAGGCACTAGCCGCCACGCCAATAGCCAATTCCTCAAGGACGCCCAGCCGCGACGCCGACCTATCCCCTCTCCTCCTCCGCCCACGGCCGCCGGCCGCGAGCCCGACGCTCCGGAACCACTCATAGAAGAGAAAGAAGAGGAAAGAGTCCAAGACAGATTTGGCTACGTCTTGAGCTAGGCCAGTATAGGGCGCTCTCGGCCCGCCACCGGACCTCCAGATCCGCGAAAAGGCTTCGGTGACTCCGGCGTACGTGGACTCCCGTGCCGGACCCGGAGCTGCTACCCCGGGACCGGTCGGACCTGTGGGAGTGGTGTCGCCGGCGCTGCTGCTGCTGTTGAATCTCTCCTCCCGACGAAATTGTCGTTGAGCTTGGAGGCGGGAAATCACTAGAGAGAGAGGGTAGAGAGTGCATGTCGAGATGAGCGTGCCGGCGGAGCCCGAGACGGCGTGGTGTAGGGCCGGGAGGAACTTGTCTGCTGCTGTTACTGCTGCTGGCGTGTCTGTGTAATTGGCGAAGCCTGACGATGGCATGGTTGGCTAGTTTCCTTCCCAGCGCTGTAAGTGGCAGAGGGGGACAGGTAAAAAGGAGCCCGTATGGTTTATATCGAAGAACGAGCGTTCCGATCTGGGTTCCGGGAAGATCTAGAATACAGTACGAGGACGAACGGGACGCAAAAGAATATCGTCAGCAGCTTCCACACCAACCGAATCTCGGACGGGACCTTGTGGTCGTGTATGTACGCTTGCCTTGTAGCCCTACGATGTCTATGGCGCTAAGAAGTTTGGTCGATAGCTGATCGTGTCTTGTCTAGGAGGAGACAAAAACCCACTAGGTTGGATACAGACTATGTAGTCTACCGTGTTGCCTACCATGTTGTCTACCGTGCAATTATCTGTTTATTCGCCATTGGATCGACGATGTCGCACAAGGCCGACGGCATATTGTTTGTGTGTTAGTATATGTCGGTATGTGTTAGACGTGGGTATGGGATGCGTATGAGTGAGGAGAACTTCACGATGTGACCGAGCCGCGGGCTGGCTCGAGCGATGAGGGGGCAACCTGAACGACAACGTCATGGCCTGTTCATAGCCAGTTTATATCGTTTATATCTATACTAGTTATACCTTATGTAAGACATTTAATATATGGTGTGTTCCGCATAGTACGTAAAAGATAACAAGTGAATGGTATAGTTCTCCAACTCCAACCCCCTTTATGCTTACATACATGGACATTCCCTGCCCTGCATCCTTACCATCCTTACCATTTCTTCCCAATTGTATATCCAAATTTCGAGGCTACCTAGCTATCCATAGACGACCTGTCTCCAATCCTTTCGCTTGTGGATGTTTACCGTACGCATTTTGCACGAGGGGCTTCCCTGAGTCCACAATGTCCTATAGGATGCCAGGAAAAGGCACCCGAGAGATTGGCGAGCTTACACGTGTACGGGGTCCTCATGCTCCATCCCGCTGTGCAGCCCTTAAGGTTAGGCCTATCGCCACTTCGGGCACCGACACGTGTGCCGTCACAACTCTCAACCTAAACAGCTTCTATTCCCAGTTATGCTCTTTATTGGAATTTGCTGAGTGGTATCATATGAATTCTAAATACGGCCTATGGCACCAAAAACAATTCAACGCCGGACCAAGGAGGCGGCAAATCATGGTATACCTGCTGACCTTGCCACCTTTACCTAACGCCCCCGAGTCGATTTCCTGCTGAACGAACTCAAGCCCTAAAGCCACCTGCTTTGCTCTGGTATCCCCCGATAAACGCCTAATCGTAATGATGACCATGATGATAATGACCGGCCTACCCAAATGCATTTACCTAACTGCCTAGGTAGGTACTTACCCAACCTCGTTTACATGCCGTTATTGGGAGGCACAAGCCTATAGGAGGTACATGCAGTTGTAATGGGGATGATGCCGGCTGATTCCAACCAAGATATTATTTCCAGAAAAAGGGAATGCAAGCTCAAACGACTTAGCTGAACCCTTGTTTAGACGCTCGCTTGATATCCTTGTTTGATATCCTCCTCATACGATATGCCGCATGAGAGCAGCCCGTCCTAAGCTCGGCTTGCTACGGACGGTCGTCGTGAATTGGCTTGCATGCCAAAACTCGAGGACCGTCGAACGCCCACCGCGCCCATCATTCCTAGGTCTGGCTCCCCTGGCGCGTCGTCTAGGTCCATATTCGTATCAATATGGTTTTCGGGGAGCTTCTGAGCACCAAATCCAACCACCTTAAAAATGTTGGTACGCCCGCCATTGGTCGCCGTGTGGAGCTGTTCGCGGAGACGCGCTAGTTGGTAAGTCCTCCTGATAGGCTCAAAGACGGGCGGCGGCAAGACGGGCTGTGGATTCCATCGTGCTAGTGCGCTCATGACAGCAGCAGTCTCCTCATCAGAGTCGACTGGTCCGGCATTAGCGTCATCGTCGTCCTCTAGCGGAGCGTTTGCATCCAATGCGGCCTCTGTTGCCCTATTAGTCGTTATGGTCAAATGCCTAACCAGTGTTCTGTGTCTTACTTTGTTGTTTCGCCTGGTTCTTCTTTTGATACGCAGCAAGCAGCATATCGTAAGGAAGTGATCGACCGGCGACGGCACGTTTGGCTCCCATGCTATGGCTTTTGCATGTTAAAGACCGCGCACATGGTTGCCCGTTGGGCAATATAACACCACATTGCTTCTCAACATCAACGGGGCCTAGATCAGTTAGACACGACCAATACGGTTCAACGGTAAGGATGCGTAGTGGCTAGATACCTTTAGGCTTGGGAACTTTTGGCTTCGGCTCCTCTTTCTTTTTCTTATTCTTTGGTCCCTTGTCGGCATCACCGTCGGCCTTTCGTTTCTTGCCCTTCGGCTCACCGTCCGGCTTCTTACCACCTACCTTCTTAGTTGCTTTCCCACTAGTCCCTTTTTTCTCGGGCGAACCGTCGTCGTCATCATCGCTGTCATCATTCATCTTAGCATCTCCATCCTCGTCGGCTTTGCGAGCTTCCTCTTCCCGCGCTTGTTCCTTTGCTCGTTCCCTCGCTTCCCTAGCCTCTTTTTTGCGCTGGGCTTTCTCTTTTTTGATTCGCAGGCATTGCGCAATATGTTCCTTCGCTGCGGTTTTGATAATGCCCTTTTTGCAGTGTTTACATTGTTGGAGATTAAGACTATCTTCGAGAGGCCGTCCGGTCGCAAAGGTCTCGCGCGAGTTTTCGTCTAACTGGTTGACCACGGGTCCGGGAGACGGGACGCCAACGATGACGGAAGGGTTCTCGGAGGATTTAGATTTCTTATCATCTACATAATAGAAGAATACTTAGAAGCTGTTGGTGCTACAAAGAGAGTATAGGGTTCCGGCGCAACGTACCATCGGCAACGCTACCATCTCTCCAATTACCGGGTTTTACTTGCTTCGGTACAGGCTTCTTTAGTTTGATTATACCGTTTGGCCTATCTCGTATGACTTTCTTCGAGGCGACGTTAATTGTACCTTCGTCATCGGGACCTAGAACGTGGGGCGAGCATTCGTGTCAACACGGCGCGCTGCGCAGTCAAGTCTGCGAATTACTACATACCTTTGCGCCCCTCTCCGCCGCTCACCATTTTGATAGGTATTTGAAATTTTGTCCGTTACATTTATTTGTTTATGTGTTATATGATGGTGCTATTAGCACGCATTAAATAAGAGGTGATGGAAACGTCGTAGGCAGCGACTTATGGATAGGTTGAAGATAGGTAGCAGTTGTTGTATGATTGAAGAGGCGTTTAAGCTAAGGCTCGCGGACCACTTGAAGACGCTCCGATAAGATCTTATCGCTTCGTTAGCTTACCCGTAGAATTACCGCAGAGTTGTCTCTTGTGCACGGACCCATAAGTTACATAACTTAGACTTGCTGACTTGTACCTTACCAAGTACCTAACCTACCTACTTACCTACCCTACCAAGTACCCAAGTTCAGACATTAATACATAGGTACCTAGGTACAATCTTCGCTGCTTAGGTAAGTTTTAGACATCAAAAGGCTGAAAATAATTCAAGTGGACCATTATTCGCAGACGAATATACATAGGTAGCTTTGGGGGTATTTTTGAAAACCCAGTCTTACCGACCTGTATAATGCCATTCGCCTATATGCTCTTCCTAAATATGCCCAGTAGATCATCAACTCAAAATACTTCCCATAGCTTAGCCACGCCCATGAACGCCTCGCCTTTCCAGATATACCGCTTATACCGCTTACAATCAGCATCTAAGTCATTCAATATATCCGCTTTTGGCCGTCCTCCTCTTCGAGCTTTACTTTATACCCGACCGCCTCTCTATCTAATTTAGACCGATGCTGTTCCATGATTTCTGACAGGGCCTTTGCGTGCAGCATTCCCATCTGCCTCCAAACCACTTGCAACACGTTATGAGCCCAGTCCCAAAACTCCGGCGGCACGTTCGGAGCGCAACCAGCGACTTTTAAATGCCAGAGAAGGCTGGGTACTCCTACCGCTCCGGAATTGCCATATCCATCCGCCTCAAACACTCGAGTCACTTCGGGATCAAGCGTTGGATGGTGCCAATGTGAAGGTACACTTATAAGGATATCCTCGGCCAGTCGTTCGATAGTGGCGTAAGATTTTATTCTTCGAGGAACCGGTAGGGTTCGACTGCTCGAAATAGGATAGGTGCTTATAAACTTGACCAGCCTTTGGTTAGTGAGAATATGAGCCCAACGGTAATGATTCCATAGCCTGGCAGCCCATATCACATTATACTTGTGCCACTTTCCGCGAAAGACCGCTTCTGGCGGATACTCTCCCCTATTTTCGGTAAAGGGAAAAACTTCTAGTAGCCGCCTCTCTAAGCCATCAAACGTATTATCCAATTGAATAAATTGTTGTATGATATCATCCACGGCCGAACGCCCGTCGGCGTATACCGTGTGCTCGAACGTCGCCGACAGTTGGAGAAGTCGAACCATAGCAAGAGCCAAATCGACTGAACAACTTTCCGGAACTCCTTGCATCAACTGCTTACAGAATTTTAGCGTCTCGAAGAAACCAGGTGGAAGAGGCGTGTCTGTCGCTTGGTATGGAATGAACTAGGACGGTCAGTAGTTAGATCAAATAATATGTGGTGAATACAATACCATTGAAAATAATAATTGCAGTATACCATGTACACCTCCACTAGGGGCTTGCGGAAGAGGCAGTACAGATCGCAATACAGCCATTGCCCCATTAACGTGTGTGCTAGCTAAACCCACTGCCACTCTAGATCCTTTACCTTGGACGACCTATATATAGTAAGTGTTGCGTACTTGAATAGAATTACTTCTAGGTATCAATTTACCTCAAATAAAGCGAGCGTCACCACGCTTCGAAGGCGAGCTACAAGGCCTGCGGGATCATTACTAGCAATTAGCTGTCCGGTTTGCTTCAGAGATGAGACGTATTTAGAACGCGCAATTAGGTTCATGTTCTTATTCCCTAGCAAGTTAGACAGTCCTGCGAGACCTACGGCTATCATGACGTTCTGGGCGGCATCTGCCTTCGAAAAATACGCCGCTACCTGCTCGCTTGTTCTTGGGGAGTCGGGATGGTGCATAAGATAGCGATTGATGTAAAACTGCAGGCCCTGCTGCTCCATGTTTAAATCTACCTTCTTAGGTATCTTTGCGGGAACAAGCTTGGGTGGCGGTAATGAACCACTTTCCGGCGGACTATCTGAAGCACTGCTCGACGACTCGTCCGTCCATGCCGAGGCCGAGGCCGAAGTCGAAACGAAACTTCCGCTTTGCTCAGCAGGAGACCCCGAAGAGCCCCATTGTGCATGTGCTTTTTGTATAACCTTGCTACTCTCGTCTCGGAACATAAGAGATAACTGGTCTCGATAACCTGGGCATTTCTTGCCCACGCGAATGCATTGTGTGCATTCTGGCCGTTTCTTATCGCACTATAATCTCTTGGTTAATTATGGGCCAGTTCGTCTATTACGGTCCTGACTGATTGACTGATTGGATCGATTGAGGTGGATGCAGCGTCCAGACGACACAGGTGAACCTTGCGGCATCTCGCATACGATGCCTCCTAGTACATCTTGCCTCAGCTGCAGGGCAAGGAATGACAGGACAGGGAAGGTGGATGCATGTGTTTAATGTATTTGGTGAGGTTGTGAGCCCATACGCACCTTTATACGTCGGGTTCGACAGTTTTGGCACCCCTGAGAAGCCTTTCCACAATAAACCATTGTGCGAAAACTCCAGGATAGGCAAGCTGAACGAGCAAATCAGAGTGGTGTATTGTCTTAGTTGCGCGTGTCAAGTCGTTTGCCTCTGTAAGTTGGCAGCCGCCGTTGGTCAATATTGCGGCTGGCAGGTATCGAAAAGGGAAAGCAGTTCGTCAAAGTCGTGGGGAACAAGAAGGATCATGATTATTCGAGGACTAGTGGCATTAGTTTTTCCTTTTTTCTTCTTCCTTCTATCCCGTCTGCCACTTGTATAAAAGGATCGCTCGATGCCACTCCGGATCTTGTTGATTTTGTTCTCAAAGTCTCCGAGGCGGATTTTTACCGAGTCCGGACGGAGATGCTTCACGTGCCTTCGAAATCGAAAATCGAAAATCGAAAATCGGCGGCGAGCGCACGGCGTTTTTGCAACAACGTTTAATATAACTTGGAAACCAACCACCAATAAGATATGGATAATATAGTCCAGCTGAGTCGCGATTTTATTTTATATAAGTTAAGTTACTCGGCACCATGCAAAGAGAATAATACTCAATAAGAAGTTGAGAGCGCCGAAGCTCAGAAGCTCAGAAGCTTAGAAGGGGGAACCAAAAGCTGGGTGGCCGTGATGGGGGCTCACGGTATTCGGCAATAGTTATATGGTATATCCGACCTTGTCTTATTCGAGAGAAGCTGAGATGTGAGAAGTGTTGGTCAATCACAATCCTTCAAAGTGACCAGTAAGTGACCAGTCTGCCAGCACGTCTAATACCGAAGATGCCATGTATCTATTAGTAATATATGTCTGCATGGGTGGGCTTTCCCTTTTTTTATTTCTCCCTTCCCTCTTCACGCTTCTGCTTTCTTATTAATAGAATACATACCTAGACCTATGTAGGTAGGTAGGTATGTTAGGTACGGGTACGTAGGTATTTCACCTACGGAGACTTGGGGGTTGTTTGAAACTCGTCCAATGTCGAAAGAGACGTGAAAAAGATAATGATGCTACCGAATAGGAACTTCCCCGCTTTCCTTTAGACCCAATCTCCAGTTTGGTGTGGGGGTGAAGGGTATGAAAGGTACGTAGATTGACATGGGGTTTAACATGGGTTAACATGCATGTAGTTTAGCGATACTGTTTTGGATCGGCTGTGGATCAGAGGTTAAACATCCTAGCAAGTCAGACAGCCCTGAACGGAATTACCAGGCAAGAACAAACAAGACTAAAGACTACCTAGGTACCTAACCTAGCAGCTTGGTAGGCTTTGGCCAGGGTTAAAGCTTCTTGCGTTCTATATTTCACACTATGCATACATTTGGCAGGCGGGATCCGCGGTCGAAGTTGCAACGGACAATCAGCTTAAACAGGTAGGTACATCCATACATGGAATACATGGAGATGTATCAAATGTTTACCCGAACTAATTCATAAACCTTAAACCTTATTGATATAGGAAATATTACATAGGTACCTAGGTACCTACCTAGGTATGTATTAGATAGCAGCATCTAGGTACTTGGGTACATGCTACGTGCATTAGGTACTTTTGATTACCTAATTAAGTCATATAACTAAGTCACTTGTGCAGCTTCGAGTATTAAACCCTTTTTTTTCCCCTCGTTATATAAATTACCCTAACTGGACTTTCATTAAGGCTATTCTCTCAACGTCCTTTCTCTTACATATCAACACTGTAATACTGTTACTCAGAGCGCAGCGCACTTTCGCCCAGGGCTGAAGGCATCATCCAGGGCTTGTAACCGGGTACTACGTTGTGAGAATCCGGGTGCTATTTCCCGACGTGACGTAACCCCGAGGGGTCGAGGGGTCGAGGGGCTTCATTGTAAGGTAAGGTATTTAAACGAAGTTGAGCGAGTCAAACAAACACCTAGGTTAGCTAGGTTGTTGGGTCTCTTCGGGCTTTTCTCGCATTGCTGCCAATTCATCGTCCCACAGAAACACCCAAATGCTTAGGTAGGCTGGTAGGTTAGCTTTCTCATAAAGCTTCCTCCCAAAGCTCTAGAATTCACCGCTTCTAGATCGGCAAAGAAAAATAAATACTTACTTATCCTTAAGTCTAATCCTTAAGTTCAATCCTTAAGTGCGAAGGGCAAAGGTATCCGACCTTTTAATTGGCCCCCGTATCGTCTAGGATGTTAGCACGGCGCCGAGAGGGGTCTCGAAGACTCGAATTTGTGACACCCTAGGTCCAGCCCAGGGTAGGAAGGGGATTTTTTCAAACCAAAAGCTCCGAACCCGGGATCTTCCTATTGACAGCTCACCCCTGACAAGAGATGGTATTGCTATCACATTTCTTACTATAGTAATAGCTGCCTGACTTATATACATGCATGTATCGCTTTTCCGTTACAATGCAGGTAACAACTTTTCTATGTACCTGTTAAATTCTCACAGCCAGTAGGCAACGATCGTGATTGTCGACAAGCCATTCACTAATCAATCACATTACCATTAGGCCCAGTTTGATGAATATCATCCAATCGTCCGGTGTCAAGACAAGGCGAACAAGTTAGTTTCGAGAGATGGAGTAGTCTATGATGGCAATTTCTCCTTGCTCGTCTATGTCGTACATGTCGTGCCTCGGAAAATAAACGTGGGTGACAGCGTCTCGTCTAGTTTCAAACAAAGGCACATTGTATCTTCGTCACACACGTAACGAACAATATGCCCACCTAAACCTTCAATTGATCATTGGCTGACTTCGCCTCAGACTACAAGTATGTGTTGGTTCGGCAAATATGACAGGCATGAGACTGCCCTTGTTTCTTGTTTCTTGTATTCCAAGTGTTCGTGTTGATGACGACAGTTTGATGGCTGGCTGTCATCAAACCCGTATCAGAAATATCCACATATTCAGCTAGTTTGGTGAATTTGTTCGCCTCCTTTCCATGATGAACGCCTGAACAGTAACCCTTTTATTTAATCAACTACTAGGTTTTGTATTGAATTGCAATCATATGCCTTGGCAATATTGCATGGCTTAGCCCTAGCAGGGTTGGATATAGAAAAAAAAACAGAAGAAAAGAGCAGTTAATTGAAAAAACAGGCCACTGTGACCCGTCTGTTATGTCTATATTCCTCGTAACTCGATAGCCGAGCCCTCATAGCTCGACGCTTCCCCAATGTCGACTGGTGGTTTAGGGATTCTAAATCCCATGAACGGAAGATACGATCCAGGGAAGATGAAGCAGAAGCTACATACGACTAAGAACACGGGCAATGTGTCCAAGATGTACATGCTGCACGGTGTTAGCCTACAGTGAGATACTATATGTCCCTAGGTAGGCTTCGGTCACTCACAAATATTCATGCTGGGATATGGAGCTGTTTGAGCCTTCGGCAAATTCGACTACGCGGAATAAAGACCGGATCTGGGAAGCAATGTCAGAAGGCTTACGTTAACAAGTATTTCTTAGGTTCTTACTAGAATCAAAATGCAAGATACGTTGACTGCATATAGGAGGTATCTCCAGTTTCGGTTTATCTTTCGTGACAACCCTTTGATCAAGACCGACTTTCCCCCGTCAGTTGCCTCAAGCCTCGACAAAAGATTCGCCTCGAATCGTTGCGAAGTAAAATGAAAGCGAGCAGCAATTACCGTGAAAAGTCCAAACGCTGCGATTTGGATGGCGAGGCCCACGAGTGCGATATTCTTTCCTGTATTTATTTTGTCCTCGGCGTCCTCGTCTGTTAGCTCAGTACTCGAGACGGAAACGGCGCCAACAAGCTGAACAAGGAGAGAGATCACGTCGAAGGTGACGAAAATAGGCGTGATCCACCGAGCTACAACATTTAGTAGGGAAGGTTACAGGAGAGTTTAAATAAGTACATACTCGGAATCCAGAGGAGTCTCGTCGTCCTTTCTTGGGTGGGGACAACATGAAAAACGATACGACCAAAGACAACATATATGACACCAGCCATGAGAACAGGGGCGAGAATTATTACGCAAAATTGTATCGCGTATAAGTTCAGGTCAGTAGGATTGCCAGCAGATGCAATTCGAACCGCATATCCAACTACTTCCACTATTGTTGACGCATTAGGATGTTTACGACGCTATTATATTAAATTCCACCAAGGAGCTTACTGAGTATCGCTAGAAGCTGTACTGTCCACACCCAAGCTCTTTTTCGAATAGTCAAAACAGAAGACCAAACAAGAGCTATCCCGAATAAGGCGAGTCATACTCCAGCTACGGCCTCCGATGGGTCATAGGGATAAAAGGAAATGTCATCTAATGATACACCGGATGACATATTAGCGCCCTCAACCCAGGACAATTTGGATTTAAATAAGAGATATATAATTAAAGTAATCGGGGTTTAATAACTTTCAGGCATGTACAGAGGCAGAAAAAAAAACGAACATTCAATTTCCAGCATAATCAAATTTTGGGAAGATGCCCCCTTTTCTTTATAATACTCAGTAGGACTGATACCATTAGGAAGGGCTCTGCCACCGCCATGTGCCACTGCTATATCGAAGTCATTGGATACGATGTGTGACGCCACAAGATGCGGAAGATCACGAATCCTACCAGGCTTCAACATAACGACTTGAGATCACCCACCGGCTCGCTTTCGGAAGAGGCCCGGTTGCAGATCCCATAGTACTATATGCCGTCAGCAAATTTACCCCGTCCTGGCTTTGATTTTACTAGTTTCTTGCTTACGTGCAGTGACGTTGGGCATTTTGGCTCATTGGGGCTGGGCTGCGAGCTGATGCTCTACGGATTCACTCACGCTGATAACCTTCCCAAGACGGTTATAATTCCCTTTTGCACCGCCACTCTTGTTGTTGGACGAAAGCAATAGGAATACCTACTTATTCTTAAGGACCTTACGGGCCTCTTAGTAATTAAAAACTAAAATGTTTAAGATTTATAAGACTTTGATGCCCGCCGAGCTTCTCGTAGAAGAATGTTTATTACTAGTACTTTTTTGCCGGTCTTATTCCTATGCTTGAAATAGATATGATGGAAGAGATTCGCCAAAGGGGTGATTGTTAATGCAGCTTTGTAGGATGCAAGTAGCGAGTAGTTGCTCATTAAGCTATCCCTTCTTAACAATATTATTAAATATCCAGTTAAAAAGAAGACGCGTTGAGCTGCTCATTCAACTCTTGGATTTTTTCGATATTAATAGTTAATTATAACTTCCCCTTAAAGACCTTTCAGCTATTGCGCCTAGCTACGCAACGGAAACGTCTCATAGGTTCCAACTACTGACCCAGTTTCGTAGCATTTCTCTGTCCAGGGTGGGTATGCTGGTTTGCGAATGCCTTATAGCCCAGTCTGTTGCATATGTTGCAGATTCCGTCCCATCACCCAGTTCCTTGAGAAAGTCAGCGCAGGCATTTCAACAATATCTTCAGCGCTTGGGTCCCCAATGTCCCCAAGCTTCTTAGTCCGTTTATTTAGGGGCACTGTATCCGCGACACCGAGAAGCTTACGCAGGATGTCGACAAGTAGCTTTCAGCCGTTATGGTCTAGGATGACATATGGTAAAACTGCGCCTCCTGTTGAACTGTGTGGGTCATGAGGTCTCGTATCATATCAGCAGCGATATCGACAGGAACCCAGTTGACTGCTGTGACATGTTTGGGAATGCATTTAATAGTCCTCGCCGTGCGTATCAGAGCAGAGAGCCAACCCTGGTTAGCCCACTTACCAGGCTTCCCAGGAGAAGGTCCACCAAGTTGGCAGACCCGTATAATGGATACCGGAATGCTGGATACCTCATTTGCAGTAGTAAGTATGCACCCAGCTGCATGTTTGGGTTGTCTACAGCCTATGTCCAAGGAAGCCAAGGGATCTGAAATAGGAGTTTCAGGTGCCGCGGTAGTCGTAGCCATTCTACCGACCGGGTTTACGAGATGAGAGAAGTAGAATATGTGAAATATATTAGCGTAGGTACGCTCAGTCTTTAGGGAGAACCGAAATTTGTATCCGCATTAGCCTTCGCCTATATACGGGCTCTGAATCTGAGGATATAGCCATCAAGTTTTCCACAGTATGGTAATAAAGCAAAATCTAGGCGTGTCTTACAACAAGCAAGTAGAGTCCTTTTAAACAGCTAAGTTGGTCTGAAAGACACATTAACAAATCAGGGGCGGGTAGAGAGCAAGCGTTTGTGGGATATACGTATCCCTTAGTTACTTGTTATTTGTCTTATGTCCTACAAAGAGTACTTTATCCTAGCCTAAAAAACGAATATGTCACTCAGATAAATATTAGGAAATGATCTTATCCTTGTTACATAAGAGTTAGTTATTATATTCTTAATTTAAGACATTTTGCCTTTTTAATCCTGATTTCCTCGTACTCCTGACCTATTACCTTCTACGCCAATGGCACACTTTTCTGCTTTTAATTCTAGATCTTTGCCACGATTCTCTTTACTTTGGCATGGATAGCGACCCTTCCATAGTTGTATATTCGCTATCTTATAATATTATCATTCTGGCTCGGCTTTTAACACTCACTTCAGGTCTCCCGTCAGACACAGAGTCCCGTAATGGGTTGTATGTCAGCAAACGCAGGGTCTTATGATTGTGTTAGATAGAATTACCTGATTGCCTGTGTAATTTTGCATCGAATAGAGCGGAGTTACATACTGCACTTTTCTTGGAGAAAATTGACTATGTCATCTATCTCATCTGGAATCTTATACCAATGCCCTTGCCCCTGATAGACTTTCCATGAAACGTCAAAGCCTACCGATTTGAGGATTCTTTGGGCCGCCTCCCCATTAGACAACTTGATCTTTTCATCTTCCGCACCATGCCCGAGAAATACCGGCGTAGAAAGCGACGTCCCTCTGCTGTTAATATCAGGAATGCCATTGGAATCCAGTAAATCATCGTAAAACTCGATCACTGGGAGAATTGGATTCTCTTCTGCTTGGGTATCCACCTCAGCCGAGGAAAATGGATCTTCGTCGATAGGTTCAGCGTCGTTGTCAAACACAGATGTGCCGGCTTCGCTTCCTATGAGGCCATCAATATCGGGCTGAAATGGCAACCATCCGCTCATCCCCACGAACCCCCCGAGAGGAAACCAAGATGTAAAAAGGCAGAATAGTGCCATTGCACAGCCATGACTAAGACCACCCAAGATGACGTTTTGGTGGGGAACCTTTTGGCATTCGTCTTTGACCAGATGGGATATTTCACCATGGGACTCCACAAGCCCCTTGGTTTGGGTATTCGGCCTGAAGAAGAGGTCATCTAGAGAGGCGATGTCGAACCATTGCGTCAACTTTGCATGCCTTATCATGCTCGATCTACGGCGCCTAGCTGTAGGAAATATAAACCGTGCACCAGGGAATACTTCTGTCAGCTTTTTGCCACCAGGGGTGGCGCCAGTCTCAAGAAGTTCTTCCCCAAATTTACGTCCATTTGAACCAAGTCCATGGAGAAGGATGAAGCTATGGGTATGATTTGACGTCGGCTCTACAATAAAAATTGCTGAACGGTCAGTGCCAGGTGTGATTTCTGAACTCATGGTCTCTCGACTCTCGGGTCGGCATGTGTTTATTTCCTTATAAATGTTAGGGTAGTGTATGGCAATTGGTGTATGCCGAAGCGTGGGCCTTGTGGTTTTAGCCTTTGTATTTATAATAAACTGATAGTAAAGCTGAATCTTGATATATCGTTTTACGTTGGGATTTCTAAAGATCGACTGATTGTGAGACACGGCTACAAAGAGTTTCCACGTGTGAAAAGAAGTGTTTGTGTTTCCAATATATTGAATCTACCTCATTTGATTATCACAAAGTAGGCTACCTAAGTTAGTTTGTTCGTAATAGAGTTGTAATGAGGTAGCTGAGAGATGGCAGGGTGTGTTGCTACTTTTGTCTTAGTTTTGTTAATTTTCCTTTTTTTAACAGCCAAACTCTGATTTCATCATCTATTAGTAATAATCACCTTGTCATAGATTCAGTACATATGGTAATCTCCAGTATATACGCAAATTTACCACCTTGATCAATATACTTAGATCTTTGGCACCTGCAATTGACTGATCGTACTTAGAATAGTATTATATGACGTACTTAAATTGGCTACTTCAAGTACCTCTTAGGTAATAATAGCTAGTCTCAGCCGCCATTAAGCCTGATGGTGTTAAGCAACGGTACATACTGACATCCCCGTTCCTGGAATATATAATGTATACCTAACTATCAAGATGAATAATTAGACCGCGCCCGAATCGTAATAGAATGCATACATGGTGGCAGGCTAGACCAAGTCTACGAAATTCTCATATGGGATGGCCAGAGTATTAGGAATTTATTTGGGATGGGATTCCAGAGGTAACTCAAGAAGCACCATCATATGAACGGGGGTCAACTTCTATGTACGATTACCATTCACTCGTGCCACTCAACACAAGAGGCTTTCTTTCAAGGTCCTTGAGAACGTCAACTATCCACCTTTGACAGAACTTTGGTGCTATACTCTGAGCTGATGCTTTGAGTTTCTTAACGTCTGCCTCTTGGAGGTGGGAGACCCAGGAATATGAATACAATTATGTTACACAAATATATTCAATGTATTTGAACTACGGGCATCGTGTACATGCGTTGATAAAGTCCTACTCCATTTACCTTCTATTCTAAGTTATACTAATCCCAACTTCAAGTCAATGAGTTGATAAAATATTTTACACCTAGATAGTATATAATCACCAGCAACACCAATATTGCTTTTGTTATTCTTTCACTAAGCTCTTAGCAGTTACTATATTCCTACGCCTGAACATAAAAAAAGCTTATCAGGCTAAACTTAAAATAAGTGAATTTCGCAACGTTCAAATCCAAACAATAACTAGATCAAAATGATAATTCGAATTCTTACTATTAAATAGTCTCGGACTAGCCGTATTACCAATAGTCCTAACCTAGTACATTATGTAAATATTCATTAGGTGCCTTAGGTAAGTTAAGTAGGTATTTATCCATATATACCACATAGAGAATGTAACCACTCATATAGCGGCCCGGATTCAAACCCAAAACCAATACACAAGAGAGGTTTGTTACATTTCACAACCTGTTTTTATACACGTAGACATTTTCAACTTGACATCATCCTTCATTTTCTACTTCCTCCTATTCTTTCGCCCAGAAACTTCTAGATTTTCTCTACCATGGTGCCAAAGGTCGACGAAGGCGAGAACCTCGCTCGCATGGAACGCGGGGAGCTTTACTTTGCCTTCACTCCGCAACTGATAGCCGGGCGACAACGATGCGCACGTATCCTTGGCCGACTCAACAGCGCTGGAGAGTTAAGCCGCCGCGAGATCGCCGAATACTGGAAAGAGTGAGCGGGTTTCGAAGTTTTCATTTTAATATAGTTAGACTGCTAGAGTAACACGCTGACCTTTCGGGCAGAATAACTGGGGATGACCGCCCTCTTCCTCCTCCCGCAGCAACAGATGAAGAAGAGGATACGATCCTTCACGAATATCCCTGGATCGAACGACCGATCAGAATGGATTATGGGACCAACGTTAAAGTCGGAAGCAATGTATTCATAAATTTCAGCTGTACTATAATTGATACCTGCATGGTGTCGATTGGGTCACGAACTCTCGTTGGTCCGAATGTATCCTTTTTTAGCGGGACGCACCCCCTGGATCCGGACCTACGCAACGGCACCAATGGGCCAGAACTCGGCAAGCCGATTACTATCGGTAACGATTGCTGGATAGCCGGAAATGTGATAATACTGCCCGGCGTGACGGTTGGCGATGGGTGTACAGTTGGTGCGGGGAGTGTTGTGACCAAGGTAAGCAAAGCCTAAGCTTGCCACTACCAATAGCTTATAGCTGGTCTAATCGTGAATAATTATCTGCATATAGGACGTTCCCGCATATCACTGCGTGGCCGGGAACCCTGCTAAAATACTTCGCAAGATCGAGCGAAAGTTTAAAGCCGAACAAGACGCTCTAGAAAGTAAGCTCGAGGCATCCGAGTCATGAGCCTAGAAACGTCAATGGAGGCTTGTAGAATAAACCTTTACGTATTGATTGCAATCCTCGGTTTGGACGTGTGCGACTAAGCAAATAGATTTCTGCCTAGCCCATACAACCTAAAGATATTGTCGAGTCTCTCTTCCAAAGGGCTATACATTTATATGAGCCTTTGGCCAGTGAAGATGAGCTATAAATCCGGGCCGGTCATGTAAACATCTTTCAATATCTTCAAGTACCGGTTTCGCCCATCCTTTCACGGACCAATTAACCCGCTCTGTGACGTTCATCAACACCAGGAAATGTGCTAAGAGGACTAAAGCGTGCGGGTCAGATGATTCCACGTCTTTGATAATTGTTTCGTCGAGTATGCATGACCACCATATTACCATGCCAGGCTCGATATATGAGCCAGCATATGCCACGAGTTTAGTACATGTTTCCAGCCCATCGACAGCACGGTCATAGTGTTGTGTTTTAGATAGAGGCAATTCTCCCTGAAGCAGTGATCGCAGAGAAGATAGGACAGGAAACGTATCTGGAGGAAGCAAGGTATGCTCAAGAGAGGGGACGCTATTGCAAGATTAACTAATGTTGTAATGTCCGAGAAACGAATATGTAGATACCTTTTTTCTTCTGCTTCAGGAATCCATATGCCATGAACTACGGGTGCAAATTCAGTTTTTGCTATCAGATGAGTGAACGGTTCGAGAGTAACGCGCAGACCCCGAACAACCGTAAACAGCTCCAATAAGTTATGGACAGGCTTCTCAAGCCTCAGATCATCTGCCCTTAATGGTAATGAGTAAACATAAACTATCACGATAGTAGCAAAGCAGAATATAGCTCTCCAATTGTTGTATGTAATGCGGGGCAATATGGCTCTGAATCCACTTAAGCCTTGGGATTGATAATGGGCTGCAAGAACTAAATAGACCTGCCGTTGGCTCGGGTTCAAATACGCTTTATGTATGGCTGAGAGGGCGAGGACGCCATGTCTAACAAAGTCATGGTGGTAACCAACTTGTGGCAGGACGACTCTCCAGATGTGACGTCTATCTAGACGTTGAGATAATGAATCGGCTGTAAAGGTACAATAGTGGTGCAATAGTTCAAATTCTCGACATTCGTCGAGTCCCGACGGGGTTGATGATATTGTGGAGCTGGGGTTGGCTAAGATGCCAAGATTAGTAAAAGTTGTTTGCAAGTCCGTGCCCAGAGAGTTTGTATCATCTGGTGATTGAGAGGATGAGGATAGGGCTCCAATGGGCAGGCGAGCAGGAGCTAGCACAGGAAGAGGAACAGCTTTGGGAGGCGTAAAGCTGCAGCTGGCGCCGTATCGTAGACAGTTAGCACAGGTTGGACGCGACTCGTCGCACTGGGTAGAATATTAATATGAGCGGGGACTATGTGTAAGTGGCTAGGTATAAGTCAATGGATGGATGTACCTTGATTTTCCTCTGTTTACAGATGATACAACCGTTCCGAGACTTCGGATGGCTTCGTCTTGTAGCCATATTAGGATACCGAGTACGATGATTAGTGCAGGTACGCGAGCGAGGATAATGAAAAATAGATGGTAAGAAAATGTAACTCGTCGTACGTTTTAATCAATATACGAATTATACGAATTATGCCGAATGCGACTTGGAAAAACACTTCTTATTGGATAAGATATTTATAGCATACGAGGAGTCCGAGTTGTGTCCCACTTTATCTTGCAACTAGGCAGATCCCCTATTCGGATCTGACTCCTAATCTCTTTAACTGATTCGCAAGTGTATATTTAAGATCTAAAACAGATATGTCTAGAAGTCTAGTATAATAAGTAGACAGATATCTAACTAAATTTGTTCTTTAAAAACTTGAAGCCTGTACAATCTTCACTTCTAAATGAGCTGAGTTAACCGATGCTTCTACGAAAGACTTCCGAGATGATACGAAAACAATATGAATAGTGCAACGAAAGGAATATATAAACAAACTCTTGCAAATGTGTATATTCTATATAGTTAGCAATAAGCGGCCAGCAGGATCCCGGATGCTGGAGTCTCGGTCCTTATATCATACAAAGCTGCCTCGTCCTTATTGCACCGACACTCATGGCTGCATCGATCTATATGATTCTTGCCGTATCGTCGAGTTGACAGATAGAGAGCCATATATCCCCATTCGACGCCGGTGGCTTACCAAGATTTTCGTCGGCGGGGACGTTATATGATTATTCTTCCAGTCATCTGGTATGAGACGTTCATCGCAATCTTTTAATAAAAATAACCCGTTAACCGTATTATAGAGGTATATTTATATGTCTTCGATGCCGTTTTGATTCTAACAGCAATGCTCTGGATGAATTGGTACCACCCTAGCGAGATTGGTGTTCTTCTTCGGGGACAGGAACCAAAAGAAGATGGAATAAAACTTTTAGCTGAGGAATTTGCCGGAGTGAAGCAAAGACGCAGAAGTTTAGATACAGATGATAAATAACGGGTAAACTCATTTGATATAACTCATTAATTCCCAATTAGTTTTGAAAATTAAGATAACACCATCAATTAATAATTGTTTCTAAGAATCTTAAGAAGCGCAGCCCTGGAATGGCTTTGAGGCTGTATACAGTCATACCAAACTTGGGGCGGTACCAGACTAATACGAATAGTTCGAACTCAACCCAACGTCTGATGAGGCCAGATGCATTACTTCATATAGAGCTTTTCCGGTAAAGATCTCTCCGTTCTCAAAGCCACCAGTTGCCGGACCTATATATCTTTGGTAGCTGTGGAAGTCTGCCAATAGTAGCTGAGTGGTGATGTTGGCAACGAAAGTACCCTTCTCGCCGATATCGAATGAGACGGTGATACCTTCTGGCGGACCGGTAGTTGGCTTCGGGGTGTATTCGCTGTTAGTGCCCCACGGTATGACTGTTGCTGAAGTATCTGTGCAGCTGATAGAAATATCTTCACCGTCCTTCGAGATATATCCCGACCGGTGATGTCCCCCATCTGGTACTTTCAGATCAAACCAAACTAGAGAATACGGACCAACGCGAGCGCGTCCCCAGTACCAGAAGTCCAGTAGTTCCGTAAACGGGCGATCAGCCCAGTTCTTGTCATGGTATCCATTTCCAGTAAACTTCACGTGCTCTCCCCCTATAGTCAGGTCTAGTGTGGCATCGGCATCAGGAATCGCATTGGCCCAGCCCAAGCCAGGGGAAACTTCTTCCGTCACACCGAGGACGTTAGGATCGCAAGGATATCGCGGGGGCGCTCTCTGTTGAGAAGATATATGGTCAGAGAGATATTCAGGGGTCAGCAATGATGAGGAGTGAGCTTACGGCACGTAACAGCAACGAACCGGAAATTCCTGCAGCAGAGTAATCGAGCGTCACGTTATAAGACACTTTATTATCCTTTGGGTCTAGATAGCCCTCAAAAGCCATATTCATGCCGGGTCCCTTCCATTGGCTTGCAATACTCTTATCATTCGTAGTGATGTTCGCCCCATATGATGCGAGTCCACCAGACGAGTAGCTTGTCCCATTCTTGAATGTTCCTACGATCGAGATGATCAGACTACCACTTATTTGCGGTGTCACGGCATAGTCCCCAGCCTCCAGGAAATTAATAACAACAGACTCGTTGTCCGAGGAAGTCGATACCGCATCAAAGTACCACCTAAATTGAATAAGTAACATGTTGCAGCAGGCTTTGTCGTTTAGTATCCTTACCAGTCAAAACTTTTACTATTCGGATAAGGTAGAATCTTTTGATGGTCGAACGCTCCCAGTCCGCCTTGAACCGATCGTAGTTCTGAAGATACGCTTCCATTCCACTGCTGCGCATATAGGCGGTAAGCCTTGTCGAAAGCGGTAGCGACGTGAAGAAGTGACAACAACAACAACAACAAGACGTAGGAAGCCATGATTTCCGTACACCGAGAAGAGATAGGTTAAAAGCAAATATTTCGCAGGAGGCTCGTAGGTTTTATAGATCGTAGGATCTAGAAAGATCTGGTATACATAATCTAACGGCATACCCACTCGGTCTCGCTTTAATATGACGAAACCTGATGAGTTCTCGGGTTCAAGGCATAAGTAAGGGCCCTTGCAAAGTACCATCCGAGGTCTTTTCAGAGCTTCCAGCATGGTATATCGCACATATTGAGTACCGATTTGAGAACCATACTTAACTTCGATAGGGCCGGCATTGTGGGTTTCTGAGGCTGTACAGCTGCAAGGATTCTCGGGTACCTCGCATGATGCCACGAGGAACCCGAGAAAGAACTCTGATTGGTTCAGAGCCTCGGTATCTGAGGAACTCAGGGGTTTATCGACTTTCTAGAGAAATGGTACTAAACATTAAGCCAAGCTAACCTTGCATTCTTAGGAAATTAGGTTAGGCAATGCTGGCTCTTAATGTGAGATTATAAAAAGGCCCTAGGAGGTAGAAACTCGTTTCTCATACTTTTCTTCACAGTCTATCTCTAAAACTACGATCTATTATTGCTAGTTGCACTTGCATTATCGTCACATGCTTGGGACCTCCAGTCCCGTTTATTGCTCAATACCTCTTCACATCCTAGTTATATAAATATCTACTCAAGACTAACATTCGCTTATTACTAGGCTATAATTACTATATCTTGCTGTATTAATGTCACTACGCCCACACGAACATCCCGCCGTACACTCAGATACATCATTTTATTCATGAATCTGTGCTATAGGTTTCTAATATAAGCATCTCTGTAGAAGGGTTACCATGGACTTCACAATAGGGGTCAATCAAGGGCTCCCATTAGAGTCGGTTTACGTAATGTATGAGTTATTCGAGTCGTAGCGGAGGTAAATAGCCAAAGTATACGATTGGACTAAGTTTACTGAGAGACCGGACGGATAATGGAACACTAGAGTGGAGGTTGTCAGCCACTTCATCGGATTTGATTGAGTATCTAAGCTATTAGCCCAATACAATAGAATATCAGACAATTGTCGCGAACTGTTTTCTACATTATGTAGATATCATATAAACGTTCTATAATGCTACAGCTTGAGTAGGTATTTTGGGGTTCGAAATTAGATATCCTACAGCTTTAGAATCAACGTGGTTGCTATGCTGGTTACCATAGGTATTTAATTGATAGTGCTTCAGGGGTTTATTCTATTTGCCCTTGCCGTATGTCCTGGTTGGTATATTAGCAGACGGCATCAGAGCTCCTTTCTCACGAGACCTGCACTGCGAATATTTCAAGGGCTGGTGTGAATATCAAGCCGATCATAAGTGCCAACCAGTTTCGCCTAGCATATGAAAAAGTACCTAGGTTGTGTGCCTATATTCTATTAGGACCTGCAGTTACGCTTTGATAATAAAAGAAATCACAGTAGAATATTAAGCACTTACTTGAATATCAGAGGTCTATGTTATCCAGGTAGGAAATTCATTTGGTTGTATCATCAGCATTATCATCGCCCGTGCCTTACCTAACTAGATAGCTCGAAGACTGGAGTACCGTGAAGCTCTCGGTAGGGATCATGTAACTTTGCCACATCCTTGCTATCTAGCGTCACTGTATCTTGGCTTTGCTCATCTTCACCTGAATGCTCCTTAGATTTTCGCGCACGACGCATGAAGCATACGACTAGAGCTACCAGTGCGATACTGAAGAAACCCCCCAGGCTTATCCCTACTATCTCGCCTGTGCCCAGAGTTGAGCCTGATGAACCAGCTGAATCGGCATTCACGGTGATACTTGGGTCTCCGGAAGAAGACGCGAATGTCACTAGAGGGGCATACGATGAAGGTGACGAAGGGTTCTGTGAAATGACTGACGTGTCGAAAGTCGTCGGAATGGACTGCAATGAGGATGAAGTGCCAGTAGATGGATGATCGATTATCAAGTTGGTCGTGCTTTGCAATATTGGTGGTGGCTTGCTCTGATCATCGTCCATGTAACAAAGGTCATCGGGTCCGCAGTGATAACCCCAAGGACAGCAGCCTATGCCACACGTCGGTAGCTTTCCCTCTTTGACTGTGGTCTGGACACTCGAAAAGGCGCCCTGTTGATCCAAGTTGCAAGCGATGACATTGATTTCTTGACAATCCCCACCGCCTTCCTTTGGGCAGCATAGAACTGTCGTATTGGCCGCAAGGACGATACAACTAGTATCTATAGTACAGTAGAAGTCTGGCGGAGCAGGCGGGTCGCAGGGACTGTAATAGGTCTTCTCGTTGTCCATGGTGTCTTGTATGTTTCTTCTATCTGGGATGTTTTTAAGCATGGAAAGCAGAAAATGGCGTAAAGAATGTGATGTTTGAGGAAAGGGAAAATTTAGGAAGCCTGTAAATTAGACAGGCTGCCAACCAGGCGAAGGGCTACGTATTGGGGGTGTAATACATGAGATGGCAGTGCTGGCTTAATTAAGTCTTTGTCGGTGCGCAAGTTTGTTTTCAGAGTACCTCTGATTACAGACAGCAAAATTGATGATGGACTACCAGATACTACCTTCAGCAACAGCCCCTGAAGCTAGCAAACTTGCAAAGCATGGACCATAATTGCCCAGTTTTGCACGAGTCACATTACTTTGGCCAACAGGGTTCTCGGTAGTACTTTGCATGCTTGAACTGTGTTGTTTGGTTAATTCCTTGACCTATCTAGGTACTTGGGTTCTTACCTATGTTAGGCGCCTTCTTATGCCTGCCATTTTATCAGTAATAAAATATTAGGGCAACGAATAATATAGGAAGTAGATTTAAAGCAACTGCTACCGATACACGTAGTTATATAACCATACCTTAGAAATGGTAAAGCAACCTTGGATGTTATCCAATGAAGTATTTCATACCTACATATTTCTTTATCGATAGAAGAAGTTTGGAGTTGAAAGATGTGTAGTGTAATGATGACTAACTACCTTCGTTGAAGAAAAGGTTTATAGTACGTAGGTACCTACCCAGTATGCATAGACTTTTATATGGCCTAAGCTTGGATCTCAGATGGAAAACTTGGAGCCCTGTGGGGTTTAAGTTCGGAATCTAACCTAATGGGGATATGTACTACCTAGGTACCTCTTAAGGGAGGGGAAAAAGAAGGAAAAAAAGGAAAGACCGATAAATATCCGACACGGTGTTGCAGCCTCCAATTGTTTGGCAATTTTCCAATTAGATGGAGCACACGGCAAAAAAAGAAAAAATAAAAAAGAAATTTTGGCATTCCAGTCCGTCGTCCCCAATCTCACCAGTTTGCCAGTCCGTCCGGTCTAGTCTAGCCCGGGCAACAGTTCGACCTAAACTCCTAGACTCTATACCTTACTATTTCTAAAGTCTAGGTACCTAACAGAAATTATTCCGTCGCCACCCAAGCTTTCTTCCACTTTACAAAACTTCTCAACACTGTTCATATCTCGTCATATTCGTCATCATCCCTCGCCCTTTCCCGTGCGGACCTAGATTTTTCTCCCCGCCCGTCTTAGTCCGTCTCGATACCCGATTACGTTAGCGCGCCGCTGTGTCCTACAGAGGTATAGAAGGCAATAACAGTAATAATAATTATTATTGCAGCATTGCAGGTGCTGCCTGCCCACTGTCTACCTACCCACTTCGTACCTACCTTCTCCGAACCCGTCTAAACAAATCTCCAAATCACAATCGCATCCAACAAACATTTCTCCACCACAACTCTAATAAACCTTCCTCCGTTTTACATTTTATCCATCACCCACTTCTACATACACTTTTACAAATCTCTCCCTAGGGACTGACGAACACCTTTCCTTCCCCGCCATTCACATTCAAACCCCAAAAAAACCAAAACTAAAAAAACTACATCTCCCCTCTACCTTCGCCTGACACTATCGATTTAGTTCGATTCCTCCTCCCACTTAATCCGGACTGTTTCCTGCTTTGCCCCTTGCGAGACACAACGTTTCGTCCCGAGATTTTCTATCGCGCCACCGAAGCAGGTACAAAGTCTTCAGGTTCCGCTTAACCGTATAAGTCGCTCGTAGAATTAGCAGCATCTCTAATAGGAGGCAGCTCTTTCATTATTGAGCACCCCTCTTCTTGACCTTGTCGATAAGATCGCTTTACCCAACCAGGCGCGCAAATTTCTTCACAACCTAGCGCAACCATGGCGACAAACGGCAACGTCACCCATACCGACCAATTCTCGGGAGGTCCTACTGCCACAGCTTCCGGAGGCGTTGTTCCTTCTGCCGACCAAACAAGTACCACCAGCTCCAACAATAATCTTGGAAAGGACGAAGTCGCCTGGTTTTTCGTCGAGCAGTACTACACCACCCTCAGCAAAAATCCGGAGAAGCTTCACGTAAGTTCTTAACGCATGCTACATTTAATAGAACGAGGTTTGCTAATTATCTACCTAGCTATTCTATTCAAAGCGCTCTCAGTTCGTCTACGGTCTAGAGGCTGAGATTGCCAACGTGTCTGTCGGTAGACCGGTATGTTTCCCCAATAGCTACGCCATGCCTGCTAATTTTATTCTGTACTAACGCACTTTCATAGAACATCCAGGAGCGCATCAAGCAGCTAGACTTCCAAGACTGCAAGGTCCGTGTCTCCAACGTCGACTCCCAGACCTCGTACGACAATATCGTCATTCAGGTAATTGGTGAGACTTCCAACAAAGCCGGCGACCCCAAGAAGTTCGTTCAGACTTTCGTCCTTGCCCAGCAGCCGTCAGGGTATTTTGTTCTGAACGATATTCTTCGATACATAAACGAGGAAGGTGACGAGGAGCCGGCTGAAACCACTCAGGAGGAGCAAGTAGAACCTGAGACCCAGGCTGCCCCGGCAACCAAGGAGGAGCCAGAAGCACAGCCCGCAGCCCCTACCGAGGAGCCTGCGTCATTCGATGCGGGCGTTGTCGACAAGAAATTAGAGGATGTGAGCGCGACTCCCGAAGACAGCACTCCGACCAATGGTGACGTAGCAGCCGAGACGGCCGCCAGTGAACCGCCAGCGGCCCCAGAACCCGCCAAGGAGCCGGAAGCTAAGGTTGCACCTGATCCCGAAGAGACGACCCAAGAGATCGTGGAAGAAGACATTAAGGAGCCAGAAAAGCCAGCCGACCCAAGCCCGACCCCTACTCAAGCACGCCAACCCCCCGCAAACACTACAGCAGTGCCTGCAGCTCCTGTTCCGGCTCAACCACCCAAGCCCATGACTTGGGCCAGCCGGGTAGCTGCCGGTGCGGGTCCCCGACCTGTAGTGCCTCTTCCGACGAAGCCGGCAACTCCTGCAGCCCCTGCAGCCCCTACAGCCCCTGCAGCAGCGCCGCAATCGCGCCCGGCCGCACCCACCCAGTCAGCAACAGCCCAAGCACCCGCTCCGTCCCAAAGCTCCGAGACCGCAACCCCCGCTACGCCTGCCAAAGAGACGTCTACAGAGTGGCAGACGGCTGGCGGCGACTCAAAGCGACAGAACAGACCCCAGTCGGTTTCCGGACCCCAGACCGACAAGGATGGCACCATGGGATATGTCAAGTATGTCACGGAGAAGGTAAACAAGGACGAATTAAGGGCATCGTTAGCACAGCATGGCGAATTGGTCTACTTTGACATCAATCGCCAGAAGGTAAGCCACCATAGCATGTTAAACTGTGGTATATAGTCTAACATCTTGCAGAACTGTGCCTTTGTCGAATTCGCCACACACGCAGGGTACCAAGCTGCTGTAGCTGCGAACCCTCATGTGATTGATGGAGAGAGCATCGTTGTGGAGCCCCGCCGCCCCAAAGCAAGCGCTTATGGTGGCAGCAACTACAATTCGGGGCGGGGAAATTTACAGAATCGCCCGGGAGGACGCGGAGGATTCGAAGGGCGGTCTAGCAGTCAGGGTGGACGAGGTAACTTTGGAGGACAGGGCCGTGGTAGAGGTGGCGGCGGTGCGCCTAGAGGCCGAGGTGCCTCTCAAGCTACGAATGCATGAGCGTCCTAGTATTACGGTGCGAGGTCTTACGAACTTTAAGTAGGCAAGGTGTGTATGGGGACTCGGAACTCCTAAGGAACCGGATGTTGCCGCTGCCATGCCTTGGAAAAGCGTTAGACGCAGGATTTTGGAGTTTAGAGGTGGGGTGGGTTATGACTTGGACTCGAGCCTACACGGGCGTCTCTCGGAGGCGTATTCGAGTTGGTTTTAATTTGAGCACGCATATATCATTGCACCATCATCCCTTTTAGCTATTTCTCCCCTCTTCTGCTTGGAGAGGGGGTTTGTACATTGATGGAAGGCTGGAAAAGTTGGCATTCATCTGCATGGGAGGAGTGAATGGGTGATATTGGGAAATTCAAGGGGCCATATTTGTGCAGTTGTACAATAGGGGTAAAGTGAAAAGACCTTTTTTCTTCTTGAAAATATTGTGTACTACCTAGTGTAATGCTATGACTGGACGACTGGTGTCAATGGCGGTCTTGATCTTGCGGCCTTCATACCTGTTATATGTCGGTGTATGTCGGTGCCAAATATGTATCTATAAGCTAAGAAGTTTCTGCTAAGACAAGTTACGTTATTATAGTTTTGAGAAGATAAATAGCTGTCAATAAAGAGCTATGTGATCTCAATATTCGTATAGATCTGTTCAATTTGAAACGCTGTTCCACGATGGCCAAACCAACGGGTAGCCTCCTGAGCCGTGATAGGCGGATAATCTCGAAGGAGGCTGTTGGATTGTAAGATCTAGATCAGCTAGATAGATACGTGTAGCTTCGACACCCATGCCCACTCTCTTTTCCCGCCGTCAGTTGCCCTGCTTTGTCCCTCGAGCGCGTATACGCGTCTAACCGCATCCATTTCGTCATATTGGAAGATAGAAATGCAATGAAGAAAAACAAGATCGTAATATCAGGTCCACTAAATAGTCCGTAAATATGAGAAATGTGCTAAATTTATAGCTACTGATTGCAAAATGATATCTTGTGTACGTACATAAAGCATAGCGGTTATGTATAATGACCCAAGATTGTAGTTAATTCGACCTGGCATAAACCAGTTGCCTCATACGCCTGAACACCATACCTATGCATCTCGTAGACTCGAACTAGTATTAATAAAATATTTACGGGTGAACAATAACGCTTTTCAAGGCTCGGCCATCTCGGCTTCCACCGTCCTCGTCTCCTTAGCAAGGTCATCCACAACATCATCCATCTGGCTGTTAGCACCGTCGATGTCCTCGAAGACCTTCTGTAAGAGCGCTATGAGAGACTGCATCTCGGCGCGCTGCTTTTGGATATCGCTGAACAGTTTTGCGTTATGCGCTTGTACTGTTTGTAATTTTGCGTTAAGTTGCGATTGTTGCTGCGCCAGATGCGGCGCTAGATGTGCTGCCAGAATCTGGTCCGGAGGTAGCATATGCGGTCTTTACGAGTTAGCTAATACTTTACCAATTAGAAGTAATAAAAATAAGAATAAAAGAGTAAAATAAGAATAATAACAATTGGTGGAAAGACGAAAAGGAAAAGTTCGAAAAGGAAAAGTTCAAAAAAGAAAAAACGTACAACACCAGGGATTCGCTGGTCGTCACCGACCCAACTACTAATCTGGCGGTATCCGGTTTATCGATGGGAGAGCGGACGGGATCCCGAGTTTTCCAGATCCTATGGTCGTACGTGAAAGAACAACATGTAATTACGACTTATATACGCAACAAAGGAAAAAAAAAAGGGTAGAATATCCACTTACGGAACAGGCACCTCCGACCCAACCACGCCGGCGTCATCCCTCCTGCGCTCGGCCTCGCTGACCAGGCTCTCGAGCTCGTTAAGCTTGGCCACCACGTTGCGGGCCTGCAGCACAGAATCGAATTCTTTCTGTTCGCAGATGGGGTCAGCATTTAAAATAAATAAATAAATCAATAAATATACAACCCCTCCCCCCTCCCCCCTCCCCCCTCCCCCCTCCCTAATGCTACGGCGTTGGCAAACAAGTCGCTGCGAACTCACCTTACACAGCGCACCCAGGCGATCCACCATCTGCTTCTGGACGGCGCGCAGCACGGCGGGCGCCTGCGCGGCGATGGTCGGGTAGCAGGCTGCAAAGTTGTCCCAGCTGATCTTGGACAGCGTGTGCGACAAGCTGGAGTCCAGCACCTGTTGGAACCGCGACGCCCGCGGCCCCGGTGTCAGCGCCGTGTGTCTCGCCGGTAGCGGGGGGGATGCCGGCGCTTGCTGAGAAGAAGCTGCAGCTGCTGCAGCTGCTGCAGTTTCTTGTCCGCTTGCTACTGTTGCCATTACGGTGGTTGTAGCTCAGTCAGAGTTGGAAAGACAATTTGTCTACTAGTTGCCCTATAGAATGATACGTTGGCGTGCAATGGTATAGGACTTAGTCCTTATGTACCTAATAAGGTATAGAGGATGGGGATTGGATCACATGAAAATAATTAAATATGATGATGATTAGTTTGATAGTACTGATTAGATACGCGCTATTCCATCTGTGAACCGCGATTTTGGGTTGCGGTAGCTTATCGATACGTCGCGACCGCACGTGTATCGTGTATCGGACTAGGTTAGTTAGGTACCTAGGTACGTTTTACATTTGGATTCTTATGAATTGCTCACAGCAGCAGCATCGTCAACCTTTACCTCTAAATTTAATCCCAAATTTGCACGTTAAAAAATTACAAATGATAAAAGTCCATTTCATTCTATTCGGGGTCATCCATATTGCCATTCTGTAAGGTTCATCCACTACAGTACAGTACACTAACATATAAAATGAAAACAATGGATCGGATATCGTGGGATATCATGCAAAACATTACCCACACTATCATGAGCCCTAATTCTCTCTAAACGTCATTATCTTTCGAGGGCAGAAACCTGCCATTATATTCTGCCCCTTGAAATACATGCATCTTCATGGACCAGTTGAATCATCAAAGTAGACGCCGAAACTCCGAACAATGAGTGTAAGAGATAATAAAGAATCGTCAGGATGCTAGTCAAATTCGACAGTATCCGTAGGTCTTTGGTCTCTTCGCTCTTGGCGTCTTCTTCGCCTTCGATCGGCAGCTGATGGAGCTATTGAGCCTGATGGGCCTGCTGGAGAAGGGGTTATCGCACTCCATGTCGCACGACTTGCCGCCGGAGTCTCTAAACTGGAAACGGTCGGTGCAGTTGGGGGCGGTCCACCAGAAGGACCTGGCTGGCCAGAGTAATAGGCTGAATCTTTTCCTGCTCGTCTTCCTCCAGCAAAAACAGGCGTTGGTGGCGACATTGATTCGGAAACCAATCCCTCCGCTGCAACTTCTTCTGCAGTCCTGTGCGAGCTAGAATCGCGTCGGTATCGTTGACGGCTGGGAGGTGCTTCGCTCTCTGAGAAAGTACTAATGGAATCTGATCTGCCCCTATGGCTGCGTCGGTTTTGCGCCGCCGCTTCTTCTTGTGTAATGCGTCGTAATGTGATGTTCCTATCCCTATCATCGTGATATTTCACCTTCACGCTAACTGGTTGACTGGAAACTTGGCTACGATCCCTTCGATGACGATCTTCTTCCTCTGCGGCGAGACCCGCAGCGCTAGCAGCAGCCGCCATAGCAGCTTCTTCGGCGTCTCTACGACGACGGGATTCATCTCGTATATGTGTCCCATTTCCGGCAGATGAGTAGGAATCAGTGCCTGATCCTGGATGTAGAGGGTGAAGAACTCCGTGAGGGTCTGGTGGCATTGACGGCATCGAAATCGGATCGGTAATAACACTCTTAGATCTCGATCTTGACCGGGAGTGTGAATGTGAGTGCGAGTGCGAGTGCGAGTGTGAATTCGAATGGGAGCCGGGAACAGAAACTGGCATTGGCATTGGCATTGGCACTGGTACTGGTACTGGAGGTGGACCACCTCGCGCACCGAAGGGTGGCATTGGTGGACCGCTAACACTCGTTCCCGGAGGACGATCTTCAAGCATTGACGATTCTGTATCGTATGTCAAGGTTGTGGCGGTTGGAGCTGTAGGTGGTACCCGGCGTCGTGTTGATTTTGTTGGCGTACTGTATCCATCGCCTGTGTATTTTGACCCGCGATGCCCGTCCCGTCTCTCGTCCTCCATTTTGCGTCGTTCCTCATCCGTTTGACCATCTCCTCTCATCTTCTTGGCCAACCAACCTAATCCGATGGCAGCAAGAATGCCTTTCCCTGCTTTACTCTCCTCGTCATCGATAGCTCGCCTTGACGGACTAACGTATGACGAATAGTCTGAAATGTAACTGCTCTCTGTAATCGGTGGTCGAGGATGGGATGCGCGTGGTGTCATAGGCTCGGTACCACCACTTAGAACCGTAGTAGCAGCAGGATGGCCAGGGCCCGGGAGTAGTGGCGTGTGCGGTCTTGGGCGGACGTGAAGCTCTGTCCGATCCTCGCTAAATTCACTCTCGGTATACCCGTCAGTAGCACTCTTCCGGACCCGGCTTGGACGGCTAAATCGACTGGGCGTGTCGGTCGCGACCGCGGAGTATTCTTCGTCGCCGTATCTTCGCTTTTCTCTTTTGTCTCGGGAACCTTTAACTAGCGCGCCGGCCCCAAGAAGCCCAGCTAAGCCAATCAACCAATTCGATATACCTCCTTCACGGCGATCGGACCTATTAGATACCTTTTCATCCTCGAAGTAGCTCGCAGAGCCTCTCTGAGATGGGATCACCTCAGGTTGGCGACTTCGTGGCTGCGATATGCTGGTACTTCGTTCTTCATCTATTTCGCGATTCTTTCTCCCTCGCAAAAGTGCCCAAAGGCCAGCTCCTGCTGCTAGTGGACCCAACAATCCCACTCCTCGTCCAGACTTGCGTTCCGATTCCGTAAACCCACCTTCAGAACGCCCACCGTGAATCATTAGGTCATCCCGATCGCGGTTGCTTTCGTGCCGCCAACTAAGGATGAAGTATGTCAAGAACAGGAATGCCATCCACACGGCATATAAAACGAAGGTAAACAAGGGAGACCCATAAAGCGTAAGTCCAAGGGGAACTTGAACGATTCCCAAAATTGCAATCGCTCGACCTAGCCAGCGATGAAGCATGAGTCTAAACGACTTTCTTCGAATATTCTTCACTATGCGGCCCCCGATGATTTGAACTAGAATCATGACATATATGGCAAGTCCAATTCCATGATGGGGGTTCGTTAAGCTTCGACTTGGGCCCACGGCAAACCACCCGAGCACGAATACGACCGTACTGAGACCGACAGCAAGAATATTTAAATATGCGTGTAGCCGAATGAGAGAGCCATATGGCCTAAATCGCGCGTACATAACCGCAGCCGGTACGACGAAGAGGAACGTTATAACGGCGAGGATACCGTGGCCTGTTACCAATTGATGGTATTGCTCTACTGTTGCAAAGCGATTGCCCATGCCTGGTAGAAGTTCAGATTTTGATAGATATTACGATAGTGAGGAGTATCGGCTTACCATTGAATCGCATAGTTTCGAAGTTTAGCCCGGCCAGGTTCGGCAGCAGAAAGGTATTCTTAGTGAAGTCCCAAGTCCCATCTCCTACCACCATCGTGTCCGACGCATAGGTCGCCGACCCGGGCGCCGATAGCGCATCGGCCGACGCCATGGCCGCGGAAATGCTCGTCGACGAGCAGTTCGGTTAATGAACCTAGAGACACCACGAGGGAAAATCGGTAGGAATGCGGAATGCGGAATGCGGAATGCCAAGTTCTTAACGACTTCGGAATGTATGGTTAAAGCTACCCAGAATGTCGGGACAGATATGTTCGAACTTGGGTATAAAGCGGTGAGTTATAGCGGTATATGAATAGCTTAAATTAGTCTTATCCTTCTCATACGTTGTCTCGCAGGCCGAAAAAGCACTTCAAGTCAAAAAGAAAATTTGGGTTTAAAAAGAATGGAAAAAAGTTGCTCTCTGTGAAGGGAAACTATCTAATCACGAGAGACATCTTGAGAGGTTGGATGGCTTTAGTGACATGGCACTGCAGATAACTATGTAAATTATGTAAATTATTTGCTGGCAGGGAATTGGGGAAAGCTCCCGGCCTTCAGCTGGCCCTGCGTTGTTTTCACCGTCGGGTTGCGGGGTGACGAGCGAAACCCCTGTCTTCCTTGCCTTCCCAATCCCAACTTCGTCTCCACTCTGTCATTGAATCTGGTAACGGCATGTAACCAAGTTACATGTATGTAGGTACCACATGTGTACTTTGTATACATGTAGGTTACCCGTATAGATCAACTAGCCGTCATAGGTACACTACGGAACAACGGGCTCGAAATTTACCGTTTCACAGTTATATATTCCGTACCTACCTACCTATGTAGACCCACTATACCAGCTCGCCTGCCCGCACAGCTCGGCCCAACTAGAGAATTATCAGGTACCCGAAGAGATCCAATCCAGATCACCAGCTTAACGGGTTCCACGTGGAACCGACCTTTCTTATTCAAGCTTAATTTGTGACACTTGCAGTTGTTCTCCTCAACCTCCTTTAGCCCGCCGACAATATGTTTCTTTTGCACAATTACCTCTCAACTATATACCCATAGCCTGGAACCATGTCGACCGTTCGGTTACCGTTCCTATACCCGCATTTATTTCGGGCAGCCCGCTTCGGCGAGTCTTCAGCTCACGGAACGAAGATCCGATGTCGCAAGTCTTCGAATAATAACCCGCGCATGGTAGCATTCTCATCTTCCACTCCGTCAAGACAGGCTATCTTCGAGAGGCATGGTAAAGCCATCGAGCCGTTGCCTATTACGCCCGACGTTGTAAACCTCCCGGTGCCAGGTGCAGATCCCGCAAAACTATCGAGCTTCCCGAATGCGGAGCCGTCTGGCAAAGATGATGCAAATAAGGGGAAGGAAGCAGCGCAAGAACCTCAAACTTCAGAGGAGAAAGTAGCAAAAGAATCCGACAATGCCGAGGCTCCTCCACCAAAGGCGTCTGCAGCCCCCGCCTCCTCGTCTTCGAGTCCTCAGCAAGCTGCAACAGAGGCTAAGATGCAAGAAAGCGGTCCGATGGAAGCAGTATTACATATGCCACCGCCCGAAGCATATCAACATCCCCACCTATCAGCCTCTCCTTATGTTCACCATTTTGACACCTACACCCTTGTGAAGCAGTTGGAGGGAGGTGGGTATAGCACGGCGCAAGCTACTACAGTCATGAAGGCTATCAGAGGACTACTAGCTCAGAATCTAGACGTCGCTCAGGCTGGATTAGTGAGCAAAAGCGACGTGGACAATGTACGGGCAAGTTTCTAACTCGATCTCGCATTGGCTGCTAATAGATGTGTATAGGAGACGTATTTGTTTCGCGCTGCATGTTCGGAACTCAGTGCTGAGGTAAATAACAACAAGAGGGCTGCCGACGAAACAACACGTCAGCAGCGAACCCAGTTACAACACGAAGTTGATATCCTGAGCCAGCGGATGACTCAGGATCTCATGACACTAAAGGATGATGTTAAGGGCATGTTCAACGACCGCCGGATGAATGTGAGAGAAGAGCAGAGGACGATGGAGAGCGTGGTATGTCTTCCGCTATCTAGAACTCACTGGTACACCTGCTAATCATCGCCTTCTAAAGATCCAGCAGCTCAACCTGAAAATTAGCGTGACTCTCAACAGCGACTCCAGATCGGACATTGAGGGGCTACGCTGGGTGCTGATTCGTCGATCCGTCTTGGGTATAATTTTCATGGCGGTGTTAACTCTAGGGACCCTGCGATACGCAACATACGTCAAGTATGAGAGGCGGATGGAAGCAGAGGAGAAGGCTCGGCGTACTGAAAGGCAAAGGAATAGTCTAGGCAGGGAAGATCACGCCCCTCCTTTCGACGCGGCGGAAATTCTGGCGGCAAATTAAACCTTGATACCCGTGGGAATAGAATAGACAGCGATGACAAAATAAACATGACCTTCTCTCGACCTGTTTTCACGAATTATATGCACAGCGATTCCTTAACCAGCGTGAAATCATAGGGTTGTAAATCATAAACTCCCGAGGCCTATTAATGGCCTATTAATAAAGCTCGGCCGCCCCAAACGCCTTTGCATAATCCAATGGAGTGTAGAGCAACACTAATTGTCCAGGCCCAAATATTCTAATCTCTGTTGTTCTGGGTAGAGGAGTCCCTTTCCGCGGCTTTCCTTAGCCTTTCCTCTTGCCGCCTCCAGTGGCTCCCCTCTTCGTAGTCCTTGCTTATCTTCAACGCATTTCGTAGCCGCTCGCTCTCCTTGATCTTCGCGTCGGCCAGTTCGTGAACTTGATGCGCCTTGAGTGGTTTCCTCGGCGCGGCGCCCCTATCACCCTTGCTCATCTTTGCTTGTAGTTCTTTTCGTAAGGCGTCGCAGCGTTTATCAATCTCATCCTCGTCAACTCTGCGTATACCGCATTAGTCGGGAAACAGCTTAAAGGCAAGCCGGACGCGAAATTGATCAAACATACCCTTCGTCTTCTAGCTGGTCGCGCAATTCGAAGACCTTCACTTCGACTTCGCGCTTACGATCGTGCTCTAGGATCTCCTTGTCCGGTTGACGTTGCCGATGCTTGAAGCTATCGAGGTCTTTGGCGTTGTACGGGGCTGCTCGATCGCGCGGCCTGAGGTGTGCTAGGTTGCGTTGGACATATCCAGATGTCCCGCTTCCTCGGGGCGTCGAGAGTCCAACATTGTCAGACATGATTGCGCTGGCGTGTTAAAACGTAGTATGGATACAAATGGAGATGATGTAGTTAATTGAAGGTGAGTACATAGGTACCTACGTAAGTAGCTTAATGAACTAAAGCAAGGAAGGCGGTAAAGAGTGGCGAAAACAGAATGGTGGGGTTCATTTATGATCTAAGTTAGGTAGGTAGGTAGGTAGGTAAGAGCTAATATGTACATGTATGTACCCTGAGGGTCGCAATTTTGCCCCGCTGTATACAATCATCAATAGAGTGCCCCGCCATAAGTATGAGTCTAACATGCATAGTACCTACATGTAGGTACCTCTATGAGTCGTCGCAAAGCAACTGCCAACCAACCATGAGCTTAAAGATATCCATGGTATAAATACTCAGGTACATTAGGTAGGTCGGTAATTATTCATTTATAATTGACATCACTGTCCTGCTAAAATTCTGTCCATCAAGGACTTTATTTCAAAAACATAAACTATGCCTGCACCTACTACCGCACACTCTTCCTCGGGGACTACAGGCTCGACGTTGCAGTTCCCACCCATTACAAGAGATCATATAATCAACTGTTCATATGATTCTTGGTTTCCCAAGTGAGTAGACGGTATTACTGAATTATAGCTTAGTTGATGAATACATAACTTACAAATCAGTAGATATCGCATGTCATGCATCAAATCGCGTATCATACCCCTCTCATCCGAATTTATAGAGTATATCCGCGAGGACGGTATTATCCTCGCCGACGATGATGGGGCTGAGCCAGAGGACGACGAATGGGAATCGGCACCCTCGAGCTTCCGGCCACCCGTCGAGGAGGTTGACTCCGACTCTGACAGCGATGAGGATGAAGACGAGGAACCCAGATTGCCGCCGAATCAGAGGTTTCCTGAGTTGCATCAAGTGATCAAAGACAAGATCGCAGAACTGGGCGGCGCGGTAGCACCGAAATTGAACTGGACCGCACCCAAAGATGCGGCTTGGATATCACCCCACCAGAATACTATCAAGTGTACAAGTCCTAACGACATATATTTACTGTTGAAGAGTTCGAATTTTATCACTTACGACTTGGAGCACGCTTTTGACGACTGCACATCCACAGGCAATACTTCTACAGGCAATGCACCAACTTTCAAGCCAGTGCTCGTGCTACGTTCATACTTCAATCCTCACACAGCCATGGAATTCCGCTGTTTTGTGAAGCATAGGAACCTGATAGCCATCTCACAGCGCGACTTACACTTCTATGAGTTCCTGAAGTCGCTACGACCCGACATCGTTGGGCGGATCAGCCAGTTGTTCAACCACAAACTACGGTACACGTTTCCGGACGGCAACTTCACGTTTGATGTGTACATCCCAGAAGGCGAGGATGAGCCACTAAGTAGGGCGCGACTAATCGATATTAACGCCTGGGCTCCACACACAGACAGCCTACTCTTCGATTGGAAGGAGTTATTAGATATGGAGGTGCCTAGCCCAATGCTTGGAGTAGTCGGGGGGGCCGAAGAAGAGGTAGAGGCGGAAGATACGGACGAGACGTCAGAGGATGACAACGAAGACGACTTCGTACCAGAGCTACGACTTATCGAGAAGGAGGACCCCGCCGCATTCAATTTCAGCTCGCCGCAGTACTCGGCACACAAACTGCCGAAGGATGTCGTAGACGCGAGCTTGGCCGGAGAGGGCGGCATGCGGGATTTCGCGCGAAAGTGGAGAGAGATGACAGAGTACAGGGAGAATATAGCGAATTGGGAGACGAACGATAAAAGTTAGGTTGCCTAGTGTAATAATAACAAATCTTGTATGAGTGCTCTTGTATAGTTGAGATGTCTCTGGTGATATGCTTTCAATAACACTTACTACTGGATATCTTTTATTTTCAAGGATTAGCTAGTATGAAGTAGTGACTATGGGGAGATGATACCTACAACATAGAGCTCGCTTTTCTTATATTGAATCATCGTTACAGCCTCTTTGAACTTAAGACCAGGTAGGAAATCAAAATTGATAAACGACAACTTAAATAAACGTGTTAAATATGTGAATCATTAATGTGAGGCTAAAATTAAGTGAGAATATATTTTCGGGGTGTACTAAGACATAGAATTGTCAAAAATATCCGATACAAAACGTATAGTTAATGGGAGAACATAAGAATAGGTAGCCAACCCTTTTAACAACGTCCACAAGGCTTTTCAAGGAGAAAAAGACGATACCTTAATAGTACTCAGGTTTGATTATTTTGATTAAACAAGGAGGATCTTGTCATAAATTGATTAATAAACAGCATCTCATGTCCATATATACGACGAGCACTCGAGAAATGCCGAATAAAATCATCATCCGAATCTTATCCATAATATCTCAAGAATCTATTAGTTAATATAACCAGGTAGCAACTTGAGTATTCCATAGAATCATAAACCAGCCCTCAAGAACCCTCATAAAGCGCATCGATACCCTTAAAACACCACCCATCCACAAAACCCGCATCCTCCTCCTCCCTCTTCTCACGTCAAGGCAAGCCGTGTCTGAATCACCTGCCTGGGACATAACACCCGCAGCGCCATTCATTCCTGATCCTGGGCTCTTAACGCAAGGCAAAACTTGGCTTGCCTTGCTAAGCCCCATCACATGACAACACAACAGTCGCCCAGCTTGCGCACAAACTTCGACAGCAGCTGCTCTAGCGCGTCGGGCTGCTCCTGCTCCTGCTCCTGCTGCTGGGGGTGATGCTGCGGCCGTCCGCCGTGCTCGCCGTGCTGGGCCGGCGGCTGTTGGGGGAGCGGTGGGATTACGGCCTCGCCGCCTTGAAGGTTGACTGTTTTGGTGTCAGTAGGTACCTACATACCTCCCTAGGTACATATATCGGCACCGTGGATTGGAGACCGGGGCGCTACGTACCGTAGATGCGGCCCGCGTTGTCCTCCGTCGCGTACTGCAGCCCTAGCTCGCGGCACACCTGCTCCACGCGGGGCTTGAGCTTCTGCACGTGGTCGGTGCTGTGGTTCCCCTTGCCCACGATGCTGTGCTGGTTCTTAGCTTGGGGTTCTAGGGGGCATCTACATATTTGTACTGCCTCCTTTCCCCCTTTCTCCCCCAAGAGAGAAGGGAGAGGGGGTAGTGGGGGCTTGCGGAAAGACAAGGCGACACGTACACGTGGAGATGCGTCTGCCCCTGCTGCTGAGCATGGCGGATGCGGCGCTCGAGGATATCCTCGGCCTCCTCGACGAACTGGCCGTGCAGGTCGATGGTGTCGTCGGTGACGCGGCCCGTCGCGTTGTTCTCCCGGAAGATGTACTCGCTGGCCTGGCGGTTATACTCGTCCATCTTGGCGGCGTGCCGCTTGCCCTCGTTACTCAACTCCTTGGCCTCGGCGCCGTCGCCGCGCTCGTATGCCTGGTGCGCCTGTGCATTTGGGGTGGTAGGCGGTTAGCGTGGTGCACGTAGGATCCTTCGGTGTCATCTCGGTGAAGGTAGGATGCTTATATGTATATCTACCTACGGTAGGGAGGAGGGGGTGGACGTGCGTGTGGGTGGGTAAGAAAGAACATTGTATAGAAGTAAGGAATGAAGATTGTATATAGGGATGTATATAGGGATGTATATAGGAATGTATATAAAACGTATGTAGGTACATACCCGGTCGAAACAGCTGTTCCGTTTCGCGGCTTCCGCCCGCGCCAAGTCTCGGAGCCGGTCATATTCGGCTTCGGCATCATTGCTCGGACTGTGGTTGAAGGCTGCAGCGGCAATGCCAATGGTATGTAAGCTTATGAATTGATAAACAGAAACCTGGCGTGGGTGTTGCGTCACTTGGGACGGTAGACAGGGGAGGGGATATAATTGCTAGTATGGTGGTATACATATTCAGGTAACTAGGTAGTAGCTATGCAATGTATGTATACATACCTCCGCCTCCTAATCGCGTTAGGGGAATGGCCATTATGCTAATTGTATATCGCGGTGAGGGAGGGAGAACGGGTGCAATTAGAAGCTCAGTGTGTATAGGCGGTCTAAGCTTGGGCACTTGCACGTATCGGCGACAGCGAACGCTTGAGCCTCAAGTCGAAAAAAGGGATAATAATTAATACCTAGGTAATTTTACTTTTTGCGAACAAAAACTTGATTGAGCTAGCAATGCAAAGTAGGGCGTACGCGATCTGCAGCTCATCCGCTCCCAAGCCGGCTACGTTACCGTTGGTGGCTGGGAAAAGGCTGACTTCTTTTTGTTTTACGTGGCCGCGCATCTAAAAATTTACCTAAAACCTGATTCGCGCATCTCGGAAAAATGGATGCCATAGAAGAAACAGCTTCTAATTACATAGGTACATGCCTCTCCTATATAAAACTACATATGTAATAGGTATATGGCTTGGTAACTCTTGGTATTTGAGAGTTGGCCTATAGTCTTCCTTTACTCGGGGGGACTACATGCATAAGACGGGCTATCACCGAGTTAAGTCGCTGAATCAACGAGGCGTTTCTTTAATATACTGTTTAAACATCCTGCAGGATGGCTGTAGGATTGTAGGCTTCGGTACTAGGTTAAGTATCTACATAGTAATGTATCAATCCGGCACAGATTGCATGCCCCTGACAGTATGGGGTGGCTCAGCTTATAGGGAAATACAACCTTAAGGTTAAAGCAGGACGGATGCTTCGATGCTGTTGGCTTCCAGAAGGCTTCTTTGTTCATGCATTCAGGCATGATCCTCCTCAAACCTCGGGGATTAGAACAGCCTTGTACGATGTATTGAAACCGGGAGTATGCTTCCACATGCGCTGCGCATAGGTAAAGTTCAGCTGAGGCAAATTCTGGTAATATACCGAGTGGATCTATGTAGATGGCTCATGTCCATCCGTATAGTAGAATTTCGCTCAAGTCTCATATCGTTAACCTAGTCACCTGGGACCAGAGCGAGTTTTTGTTTATATTAAGTAGCTGAGCTGAACTTGACCTAGAACAAAGCTGTGTGCTTCTCTGGCAAGGATAAACTTGTACAAGAAAATGAAGCCAAAATCTCCGTCTTGGCCTAGATTCCAATTGAATAGGAAGAAAATCGCTGAGCCGGAATAGCGTCATCTAGCCCTAATGGCGCAAATTGTAACCTGGCGACCTCGTGGCAATGGAGTAGGTCTGGGTTGGTATGGCTGGTCCGGGCTTCACCCAAGATTATTTAAGAATAGGGGAAATTGTTCCGAACAAGCTGGGACGACATTCGTGCAATATATGTACAAATCAGAGGTAGGTATTACACCTTGTTAGCCTACCATCTTACATGGTACACCGAGCCTCTTTTGGGGGGAAATATGTTGTGGATGGGTGAATCTTCCCATGGTGCGAATGTTACTGTCTATTATTCCGATACATCATCCATGTACATCTTAGCACAGAAGTGATAACTCAGCTCATTGATGCGAACTTGGGAAAGTTTCTAACATGGACGGACCATGGACGAAGGTGGACTGGTGTCAGGGGGCTTATTACCTATCTATCTGATCAGATGGATCGACTTCTCGCGTGGTCGGCATGGTTCATATCACCAGGTCGAGATATATTAGTACTGAATATATATCATTGTTGTTTGAGAAGTTTCAGAGGGTTGAATAGAAGATGTGATGCGTTTTGAAACTTAAAATGACCCTACTGTTCAGAGGGGGCCTAAGCGTAATAATGCCCCTTTTATATGTAGTATCGTGGAGGAGGTGATCTTAAGTTGTTTTTAATAAGATTATAACGCTCATATTACTTATTATCTACCTATGTTTACCTATACCTACTTACTGAGACTGTCTATTCAAGCGTTATTTTATTCTTGTTCTAGTTTTAAAGCTATTAATATTGATGTTGTTAAAGTTGATGTTAAATGTTATTGTTTTTCGTCAATTATTAATTAGGTACTTAAGGTAGCCACTTCTGTGCATGGTTTAAGGCGGGTCTTTTAAAATATTAATATTACATAAAGCGATGGTCAAGCATTGGATTCGATTAGTTCAGATTAAACATGTTGGTTCCATACATTAGGTACATTGCATAGCTGATCTTTAAAGGGCAAGTTACTAGGTTAAGTTACTTAAATCAAGAAATATACCTAGGTAATATAAAACAGTACTGACTGCATGTAAAAGATGCTAAAGACGCAACTATTTATTCCGAGTTAGTTAGCTCTTACGTATACTTGATCACGTTTCAGCCGGTGAATCACCCGTCAAGATGACAGGGCTTGTCCTACATAACATGTCAGATCATATATGCACGTTGCTATTTACATCTTTTTCTTTGCGCGAAACCGACGATCTGGTGGAGTCAACCCGCTTGCTTATGAGGATCCTGGGGAAGCGGCTCGACGTCTATCTCGTATACTTCTAGAAGCATTGCCTACACCTACCTAATGCAGCTCCTAGCAGTTTGTCAGTTTATATCAAGGCCGATTAGAAAGGCCGAAAACTTGTCTCAGTTATGCATTTGTTCCAGTGCTCACGTAAGGCGAATTGTTGCTGCATACAATACATTGTCCTACGGATGTGTCGATGCATGTGTAATTCGAGATGGAGGCAATCTATTCGCTCCGAAGCCTGGCAGACCTAGGCAGACCTGCAGATAATGGGTGGCGGTGGATGGACCTGCAGTCAGGTTTGAACAGGGGTCCGGAGCATCCAGAGCATCCTGGTGTGCCATTGTAATCAATCTGTCCATTCAGTAATTCAGTAATAGTTGCTAGTTGATAGTATATATGCCGCTCTGGTCTGTTCGTTTGTCGCTAGACAGGAAAACAACACGTACGGAAGAAGAAACTATGTTTCTGGTCATACTCGATGAAATTATATGATTGGGTGTAATGTTCAAATATGTTCTGCGGTAAGTCCGGGCATCTGGCAAGGCTCGATACTACTTTTCCCCGATCTGCGATATTCCCATACATCCATACATCCATACAGTAAATCAGCTACTGTATGCGAAGTAGTGGCCCTCCCCCGTGTTTTTTTATGGTTTGTATGGTCGCTAATTCTTCGGTCATCTCCAGCGCCGATAAAAATGCATCCGCTCCCATGGGTAAGACTTTTCTAATCTGACCAGCTAGTATTTTTTTTGTGGTAATTTTGTTGCTGCATTTAGAATTATCAATACATCATCACCATTATCATGTATGTAGGTAGGTAGGTATCAATGTATGCAACCTTAGTAGTGTTAGGTACTTGATGCTGACGTGACTTCGATACTTGTTGTACTTGGTGCTTCTTTTCACTCATACATAGCACTGACGGCCTTGTAGATGATGTATGCATATGTACGTACATGTACATAATATATTCTAGATCCACTACCAGGTACATACCTACATAATGTATTACGGCGGCGTGGACAAATTGCATCAGAACCTTACCTTAGGTAAGCAAACGTTTCAAAAGTACGTAACTATGAAATATATTCGAGAATCGATATTTCATGCGGTATTAACTTTACCCAAGGCTTAAATTTACTGGTTACGGATTTTGGTTTATAACTTTAAATCATTGCTAAAAAAGGATATTATTCTTTTCAGTCGGGAAAGTGCTTAATATGCGGAAAAGTAAGCGGCTAGATATAAATAAGACAATATTTCCAAAGTTCTTTGTACAGTTAAAATTTTCAATATTAAATGCTGAGCATCGATGTACCTAATCCATCTACGATGCTGGGCAATAGGAGGTACCCACAGGCTTTCCATTAACTAGAGACTATTAGGCTTAGCGTTGGCTTTGTTCCTCGCATAATCTGTGATTGACCTAACTATATTCGGTCATAGTCCCCTCAGTTACTGCCAGCCCCGGCACGACTTTTACCACCCCATTTCCGAATTGATTCTCTCACCCTTTCGTTTTTTTCCCCTTCTCAAACAAATTCCTTAGGACAGGGGGGCGTCCGGCAACAAACCAAAGCTGCACTTTCAAAGGCAAAGGTGCTCCACTTGGTCATCCATCTCGCCCCGTCACAATCTCTCGCGACCACCCTTTTTTTTACACTCTTCCTTTCCACTGTCAGCTTTTCTCATCACATTCGCCGTTTCTTTCCTTCGGCGAATTTATCCCCATTTCTTATCTATCGTGTGTCTCTTCATCAGTTCAATTGACATTTCCCGGTATGTTGTCGTCTTGTCTATTTAGTGGTGTCTATCGAAAGCATCTACGCGGAGCGACGGTCTACAACTGCGTCTAAGCTGGCGCAAGCGGCTGGCTGGTCTTGTTATCTGCGCCCGTAGATGAAGAGAGCATCCCATCACTTGGGCTTTTATCGTCTATTATTTCTCGTACTATTGCCTACTGACACCATTATTTTAATAGTCATCGCTCGACGTAGATTATTTTCGCGACAGACGCCGAGTTTACATTCGTTATAACATTTAGTCCCAGACTCCTTTAATTAGCCAAGATGGGTTGCGGAATGAGTACGGAGGAGAAGGAGGGCAAGGCTCGCAACGAGGAGATTGAGAACCAGCTTAAGCGTGATAAGATGATGCAGCGCAACGAAATCAAGATGCTTCTTCTGGGTGAGTACTAAGGACCTTTCCCCCTAACCACGGCAATCGATCTAATAGCCGAAGGTGCTGGTGAATCTGGAAAGTCGACCATCTTGAAGCAGATGAAGATCATCAACGAGGGCGGTTACTCGCGCGACGAGCGAGAGTCATTCAAGGAAATTATCTTCAGCAACACTGTTCAGTCCATGCGCGTCATTCTCGAAGCTATGGAATCCTTAGAACTTCCATTAGAAGATCAGCGAATGGAGTATCACGTTCAGACGATCTTCATGCAACCTGCTCAGATCGAAGGTGACGTGTTACCTCCTGAGGTTGGTAACGCAATCGAGACTCTGTGGAAAGACCGTGGTGTCCAAGACTGTTTCAAGCGGTCGCGTGAGTATCAATTGAACGATTCTGCAAGATAGTACGTGCATCACTGTTTAATCTCCTGAACCTGGCCCATCTAACCATCGCAGTTACTTCGACAACATTGCCCGAATTGCTGCCCCTGACTACATGCCTAATGATCAGGATGTCCTTCGATCTCGTGTCAAGACAACCGGTATCACTGAGACAACCTTCATCATTGGTGATCTAACTTACCGAATGTTCGACGTTGGTGGCCAGCGATCAGAACGTAAGAAGTGGATTCACTGCTTCGAGAACGTCACCACCATTCTGTTCTTAGTCGCTATCTCTGAGTACGATCAGTTGCTCTTCGAAGACGAGACGGTAAACCGTATGCAGGAAGCTTTAACCCTATTCGACTCGATCTGCAACTCCCGATGGTTTATTAAGACCTCTATTATCCTCTTCCTGAACAAGATTGATCGATTCAAGGAGAAGCTTCCCGTCAGCCCAATGAAGAACTACTTCCCCGACTACGAAGGTGGCGATGACTACGCGGCCGCTTGTGATTACATCCTTAACCGATTCGTCAGTTTGAACCAGCACGAAACAAAGCAGATCTACACGCATTTTACATGTGCAACAGATACGACACAAATTCGCTTCGTTATGGCTGCAGTTAATGGTATGTAATATAATCTGCCCTGCTAATTGTCTATGTTCGAGCTAACCCCATTTTAAGACATAATCATCCAAGAGAACCTGCGTCTATGCGGCCTTATCTGATTGAGAATAAGAGTGTCACAAGCACAAAATCCTATTATAGAGCACCAGCTCACCCAATACCCCCTCGGTACCGCATACTCGACGGCTGCCAGTAATGTTATAAATCTGGCTAACGACTTGACCTGCGCCCTCAACATGAACTGGCCAACGATCTCCTTCCGTGTGTTTGTTTTGCGCCCGTTTTCGTCTCACATACTCCTTTTATACTCTTTGGTACGGCCCCTACCGGCCTTGCGCGAAGATTCAGGACACCGTTGATCGCACGATCCGGAAGTAGTGACAGGAAGGAGGACGTTTGCATCTAAAGTCACGGCGGATTACATACCTTGTTTAATAACGAATTCGCGGTTACGCCGGTTCCTTTCCATTTTCTTTGCTTTTCATATTTTTTTAATCTAAGGCATAATGATTGCCTTAGTGGATGGCTGAAATCCGGCCGGGAGGTGGATCGTAGGCAGTTGCCTCTTTCCACAGTAGGGAGAGGATGACTGATGAAGCTATACCAATAAGGGGGGGAAAGCGTGGAAAGGCAGATCCTGAACAATTGGTTGGATCTGTAAAAAGATCAATAAAAGCCCGTCCCATTATTCTAATCTGTATACCCTCTGAGAGCTGTTATTTTGCAGTTGGCGTTCGATGATTTGAGTGGCCATAGACCGTGTCGCGTTAACTAGGTGGCATTTAATTGTACAGTATAAGACTTTGAGATGATGTTAAAAGTGATGTCCTTTGATATAAGTTTGAAAATCCCGGGTGTTGCACTTGGTGAATTTGCCCACTTCTATACCCGACTTTTAGGTATGTATTTTAGGGCACGTACTTAGTCACGTACTTGGGTATGTATTTCTAGTATGATTTCTAATATGTTTGCGAATCACCTAGTTACATGAATACTTGAGCAGTTGCAATGGAATAGGTTGTCTATCTAAATCGTGGTATTGTACTGGTATTACCTACATGTAGTACCTATTACCATCGGGTACCTACGTGGATACCTACATGTATAGGTACGCGGGGGATCTCCTGACACACATGTACTTAGATACGTACCTGCATAATACGTACCTTCAATAGAATCTAGGTAGGTGCAGACCTTGCACACCGCCCGGCGAAATTACGGTTCGAGCTAAGCTTCTTAGTTACGGCCTTTTCCGAAAGATTATTTCATCCTACATCATTTCACACAGCTGCCGACAGCTGAAAAATGATCATTCTTCCATAAGACATCATCAATCTGATTACCAACTGTCAGCCAGCAGGCGGCATTTTCTTGATCACCTGGCCCACCATGAAAGGCGTTATGCATTCATCCCGAGGTGGCCGACCAAGCAAGGTCACCAAGCCGGTCGGTGCTCCGCGCGCAAGAGTCAACCGTCGAATCGGCGCGGCTGACGGACTTCCAAATCAGGACCCCGACCTTGAACAACAGGATGTCACTACTGATGACGATTTCGACAATGATCACAATACCACTTTCGATCCTGAGGCGGCTGCTGCCGCTGCCGCCGCCGCTGCTCAGCAACATCACCATCACCAGCAGGTAGAACTCACCGCAGCTAGCATCCTAGCCAACAGCGTTCAGAATCCCAATGATCAGCATCCCGACCTTAGCGGTCATCTTATGGGAGGTGACGATGCTGGAGTTCATACTACGGAAGAGCTTGCTCACCAGTCTGGATATCTCAACATCAACATTGAAAGCGCTTTGGCTAAGAGGCTGGCCCGCGATCCTGGCATGCGTCTTGCCCAGCAGCGACGTACCGGTCAGAAACTGAACTTAGTCCGACGTAGCAACGTCGAGGCTCTCTTCGCACATATCGCTGGTGAGGAAGCACCCCAGCCATGCAAGAACTGCCACAAAGGCCATGGCCCCTGGACTAGCTGTGTTGTTATCGACGGTCAGATGTGTGGCAGTTGTGCCAATTGCTGGTTCAACGCTTCCGGTGCTCGATGCTCCTTTCACGGTATGCCATTCACCTTAATCCTTTCAAAATACACGTATAAACAAGGATTGATAGGCTGATCATATACATAGAGACTCGCAACCCCCAGGCCCACGGAAGTCAGATTGGTGGCGATAACTTCGCCTATCCCATAGCCGCTCCACCGCCACCCGCAAACATGACTCCGTTCAACTTTGCTTCGATTCCCGCTTCTACCGATCCTGTTGTGCGCTATACGATAGAGCAAGCATTAGCTCAGGTCCGCGGGGCAGATCGTGCAAACAGGCTTATGATCATGATCGATGCGACTACTAAGCAGCTGGCTTACCAGATTTGCTTGTACGAGGAGGCTGTTCGTGAGCAGCAAAACCAAGCTGGCCAGGCTGGTCAATCTGGTCCTCAAACCGGCCCTCACGGAGCCCCCCAATCCGTCGTGAATGAGCAAGATGCACCTTAGAATGGCCACCCCATCAACGACGCGAGACAAGCCCAGCAAAGCGGTTAGCAGCCGGATCGGCATCGAGGGGATGGTGCTCCTCAATTTGACCTGCTGGCAGGATTCGGTGTCATTGGATCCTCACATCATTGAGGAAAATATCCAAGGCAATCTCTAAGTGGAGGAGTGGCCTCCTAAGTCAAAATTTCTTGGTCAAACTCTAAGATGTTTATAAGGGGAATTTGGAACATTCTCTTTTTGCCATGCCGGTTGGTTCTAGTTATAAATGAGTCGATGCGTGCTATATGGAAACGCACGGAGTTTAGGTTGAGGGTGTTTTTTCTTGTTTGCGTAAATATCCGGAAAAGGAGGTTGTCTCTATCTCGCCGTAGTCTAGCATGATCGCGGAGGGTCTATGAAGTTCTCATGATCAATAAACTCACTTACGATGACTGAATTGTCTTAACATCTGCTCCATTTGACTGTGACATTAGTGATAGTGATTATAGTGATGATATGCGTCACTTATAAATAGGTACCTAACTCACCGGGTGGTATATTATATTGGTTGAAGAAATAATAGTCTCAACTAATCCGTATTTTTATCTTCATTTACTTTCCGGTATATCCCGGGACCCGTAAGAACACTAGAATAGAATGTAAACGGCGCGTTGAAGTATGTATAGTAATGATATGACAATTAATTAGACTTATTCTACCTTTAGTTTTGGCTTTTCAAGAGGTACTTCAAAGCATTTATATCTAGCCTCTGTTGTCGCTTTGTTAGACAGGCAAACTTGATGAATTACATTTTAGGCTGCTGTCTTTTCCTTTCCTTTCCTTTCTATTCTGTTCTGGTTTGGTTTGTTTTGAGAAAAACAAAGGAGGAAGAAAAAAACTCTTGAAAACTCTTGGATCTAGAAATCGTGATTTACATCGTCTTAATGTTAGGATTAAACAATCTTGCAATCACCTAAGGACTGGCAGGATAGAAACAATTAGTGTATATTCTTTTGTGTCTAGGACACGGGCATAATTATTTACTAGGTAAACTAAGAGCTCTGGTGGTCTTCTATGGCTTTGGCTCGATGAGTTGCAGGGTGGCCATGCGTCTTACGGTACTTCCTGATCTTAGAAAATATATCCGGCAGCACAAATATCCATACCAATGGCATGAGACAGCACATGATTGTATCTATAAACCAATTATTCCTCGGGGAGCCTCCTAATGTACTCCATTTGAAAATATATCCGTACAAGGCCGTTGCTATGAAGTACTGTCCCTTTTCGAGCCCTCGGATCGCGCCTGAAGCTACAGCATCAGGACTTTGTACCGGGTCTCCCTCCTCGAGCATCTTTGTGATGCCCGGTTTCGTCTTGTTCTCGCGCTCGTATCCGGGGCTACCAATCGAGGCCGGGTACACGACGTGGATTTTCACGTTCTGCGGATACGCCTCTACCTCCTGTACTAGGGTGTCGGCCAATCCACGTAGCGCGCTCTTCGCAGGTGTGTACGGCCCGTACCCAACTACCGGGAAAAAGGCTAGCACAGAAGACGTGAATATTAAGTGCTTCGGTTCCGGCACGACCGGGCCGTCGGGCGCACACCATAGCCTCAGTATAGCGTGGGCCATCTCGGCCGCTCCCCAGAAGTTAATATCCATCTGGCTTCGCGTCTGAGATAGGGGCACCTCGAGCCAGAAATCCGGGGCAGACATGCCTGCTATACACCACACGATATCAATGGGTTGATTGTTGTTCCAGGCTATGGCTTCGGCGAGCAAGGGAGGGGCGTAGTCGGGTTTCGCAACGTCGGCTGAGATGAAGTGGAACCTTTGAGTTTCGGGGTCGCGGGCGGCGGCCTTAACCTCGGCCATGGCAGCCTCGAGCTTGCTGGCGCTCCGTGAGACGAGGATGACGTTTGCGCCCTTCTCAGCCAATTGTCGAGCTGCACTCTTGCCCATCCCTTCTGAGGCCCCCGTGATTAAGACGGTCTATAAACAGGGCGAAAACACTTGTTAGATATGCCCAAAAAGAGGCAATTCGTGTGATTCTGTTGGCTTGACATACCTTGCCCTCCACGGGCATTTGGTTACTCCAAGAGATCCCCATTGCGGAAGTAAAGAGTCTTACGATTATAGAAGGACGATTGTATTGTACTGGGAATTTATAAACAACCGAAGATCAAGTCTATTGAAGAGATAGTAAATTCTATGCGACAATTGGGACCTTGGAAGTGTACATATAATTAAAGGGTTTGTGCGCTGTAATTACAGCATTGTGTACCTAACATGTGAAGTGTGAAATGGGGAAGAGTAGCGTAGGATTAGCTGAAGCTATCACGGCCCTTTTTTCGTTTTTGAGGATAACTTCAAGAGAGAACCAGGGGACTGGTTATGCACTCCGCTATTGTGCATAATAAGTGGAATTTATTAACTTTGATGCCCCACTTGCGGTGCTTCCTTGTGGAGCAGCCATTGATAACGATAAGAGATCGAGCTTAGTATTTTGCGTGGGGAAAAGAAAAAAAAAGTTCTAACGGACAACACCAAAAAGTTCATAGCCAAGCTTGCGACCACTCACGCCAGCTTGTACTTAAATATTTTTCGCATTATAAAAAACATTACCAAAATGGGAAAGAAGAGAAAGGCATCTGGTGGCCCTTCGGAACCAAAGGGTCCTCGCGAATATGACCCTGCTGATGCGAGATTGGGTCCTATCAATACATTTGAAGATATAGCCGACTCAGAAGAGGAACACTTCATAAACAAGGACCAAATTCTTTTTGAGGACGACCGAAAGTCCAAGAAGCAAAAGCGACAGGAAGAGGAAGAAGAATTTTTGGAGAATTCCGACGAAGAGGCTCTTGCTTACGATGACGAGGATTCCGATGATGATGATGAGGAGGAGGAGGAGGAGGAGGACGGCGACGACCAAGACGGATACGCTCGTAAACGTACGAAATCCGCCAAGGGAAAGGCTGACAATGGATCTGAATCTGGACAAGAGGAAGGCGACTCCGGCTGGTGGGGTTCGTCGAGGAAAGAATATTACAACGCCGACAATCCCGAGACGGAGGCCGACGCTTTGGAAGAGGAGCAGGAGGCCCGGCGACTACAGAAGAAAAAACTAGCAAAGATGTCCGAGAGCGATTTCATTTTCGACGAAACCGAGTGGCTCGCTCCCGAGGGCGAGGACGCGGATCAAAATGACGTTGTTACTGAAGTCTTGAAGGATGTCGAGATTCCCTCTGATATGAGCAGCGATGAAAGATACCGAATTCTACGGACAAGATACCCCGAGTTCGATTACTTAGCAGATGAGCTCCAGCAACTTCAACCTTTACTTGTGACTATACAAAAACAGGCAGAAGGGCAGCTGCCCAAGTCATTGCCGGTAGTCAAATACCGAATCCTAGGCTGCTACGTTGCCACGCTTGCTATGTACTTCGCTACCTTAGCATCGCCGGCTAGAGATGCCGCCAACGGAGCTGCAAAAGCGCTGGATCCCGCAGAACTACGTGATCACGAAGTGATGGGAACTCTGCTAGAGTGCCGAGATGCATGGAAGCAAGTAGAACACTTGAAGATATCGGATCATACACACGTAACTGACAGCATACCATCACCACCGGAAGAGGAGCTATTAGTCACTGAGGAGAAAATACAAGTGGAAACGAAATCCTCGAAGAAATTAAGCAAAGACGCCAAGGTCAAGGCTAAGGCGGAGAAGAAGAAAGCGAAGGCCATTGAAGAGTCACTTGCTGATCTCAACGCGCTCGTTGATATTAAGAAGAAACCGAAGAAGTCAACCGTTGATGTTGCGACAAGAGACAATGACTCGGATTTCGGTGAAGAGGAGGCTCTTGATGCCAAATCGGCTGCTGAAAAGGCAGCTCGGAAGAAGAGTCTTAGGTTCTATACCTCTCAGATCGTACAGAAAGCCAACCGCCGAGCAGCCGGAGGCAGGGACGCAGGTGGCGATATGGATATTCCTTACAGAGAACGCCTGAAGGATAGACAGGCACGCCTCAACGCGGAAGCAGAGAAACGCGGCCAGAAGAGCTCAAAGATGGGTGCTGATCTTGGAGATGCTAGCGATGAAGAGGATGAGCGAGTTGCTACTGCAGTTAGAGACGACGAGGACGAATACTACGATATGATTGCTGCAGCAACAAGCAAGAAGAAAGGCGATAAAGCGGCCCGAACAGCAGCTCTTGCAGCGGCCAGCAAGAATGATCGCGTCGTGGAAACGGAGGAGATCGGCGAAGATGGAAAGCGTAAGATTACTTATCAGATACAAAAGAACAAGGGACTTGCGCCGAGACGTAAGAAGGACGTGAGGAACCCGAGAGTAAAGAAGCGAAAGGCATATGCAGAGAAACAAAAGAAGTTGAAGAGCATGAAACCGGTATACGGGGGCGGCGAAGGCCGTGGTGGATACGGAGGCGAGCTTACCGGTATCAAGCCGGGCTTGGTCAAGAGTGTCAAGTTGTAGTCTTCAAGTTGTAGTCTTCAAGTTTATTACTTTAGGTATGTACATATGTATTCATATCCACATGCGTGAGTCACACCTGCATGCAATTACTTGAGAGCTTAATTTTATTTCTAAGGTGTACCTAGCTGCCTCGTTCCTTCCATTGAGCACGGTATACCGAATACTTGTGCTGCCTACGCAAGCTGGACGCACCCTAGTCGAGTTTGCGTAGACAGCACAAGTACCTGGCTAAAAGTGACAAGGATTTCTGCATACATGTAGGTAGGTAGGTAGTTATATGATATATGACTTACATTAGGTAGGCATGTACTTGTAAACAAGGCTCATGCTTATAAATACCAGTCATAAGCACTTCACCCTGCCCTTTCTATTTTATCTATACCTTAGGTAGGTTCTTTCATACATACCTAGGTACCTATATAATTTAAATTTGTCGTGTCGTCAACATTATTCTTCGAGATGTCTTTCGCTAAGAAAACTCATACCACTCTTTCTACTTCTATTTTGGGTTCTCTATCCAACGATGCCAGACTACCAGATGATGCCCAAGACACCATCTCGTCTGTCTCATGGTCGCCGGTTGCCAACTACTTGGCAGCAGCATCATGGGATGGTAAAATACGTGTCTACGACGTCAACGCCAACAACAGAACCGCAAAAGGAACAGCTGTGTTCAACGCGGTCGGCCCTGTCCTCGGCTGCGACTGGGCCAAGGTGAGTTTTTGAATTTCTTCCTAACCATACAGCATGAAAAAAAAGAAAAGTAAAACCAATATGGGAATCCAAATAGGTAAGTGAGAATGATGCGATATAGGCCGGAGTGGATGGGGGTGGGTATTAATATGGGAAACCAGGACGGGACGATAATCGCTGCTGGAGGAGCTGATAAGTCGCTTCATATTCTACATCTACCGACAGGCCAGCAGGCTACTCTCAGCTCGCACGACAATCCCATTCGCAGCGTGCGTTTCGTCGAAATCCCGGAATCGAATGCTCACATTGTGGCGTCCGGGTCCTGGGACAAGACAGTCAAATTATGGGATCTTCGTCAACAGAGCCCGGTAGCTACCATCATGTGCGAGGACCGTGTCTACTCGATGGATTCTAAGTCTCTTCTTTTTGTGGTCGCTACCGCAGAACGCCATATCCATCTCATCGACCTCCGAAACCCGACTGTCATTTCTCGAACTCTGGAATCGCCGCTCGAGCATCAGACCAAGGTCGTCGACGTGTTCCCAGATGGCAAGGGCTGGGCTACAGCAAGCATTGGGGGAGAATGTAGTTTAAACTTTGTGGAAGAAGATAGGTATTACCACCCTTTTCTTATCTGACCATCGAGCACCGAAATTATCGCAAATGAACATTTGCTAACGTTGAATCAATACAGTGATAAGGACTATACGTTTCGCTGCCACCGCGGGCCTTGTGACCCCAAGACGAAAATTATCAAGGTATGGTCCGTCAATGACGTGCGATTCCATCCAGTCCGGCACACGGTCCTCGTCACGGCTGGCTCCGATGGCGTGTTTAGCTTCTGGAACCGCATCGCGCACTCTCAGCTACAGAATTACCCATCAGCCGGCAGTCCCATTACAACGACAGCGTTCAATTACAACGGCAGCTTCTTCTCGTACGCGCTCGGGTATGATTGGAGTAAGGGGTGTGCCGCGAATAGCCAGGAGATCGAGACGAAGCTCATGTTGCACTCTGTCACGGCCGAGGAAAGTACGTCGAAGAGGAAATAGGAGGGATTGGAGCTTTTATATGCCTAGAAATGACGGGCTATAATCAGGAACTATCCAAAGAAATGGATGAGAAAAATCGAAGGTTGCGCTAAGAGCGCGTTTCAATTTCAAATTGGCAATCTTGTACCAATGGAGGATCTCCTTTGTCAAGGGCTTGGTATATGTATGACCTGTGGGAGGAAACGATTATACCGGTCACCTAAGTCAGGAAGAAAGAATATGCCCAAGAGAACCCGTTAAGACAAATTACATGTGGAGTAATACGTTGAGGGTGACTAGCAAGCAGAGGTCAACGAAGTCAGAAAATACAATGCTATGTCTTTGTGTGGAAGGATGATATATTAGAGGATCGTTGTGGTATATTCCTCTCTGGGTTAGATATCTCTTTCCTATAGGAATAGGCTGGATAACGCTCAGGTACTAATAAATGGCTGTGCGTTAACATGATTATCCCTATGGAACTTGAACAGTTATAGTTGCCTTCTACATTCCCGCTACAATATCTACGTAAGATGCCAAGTGAAAAGCGGTGTGATAATCATCACGGAAAATCATGTTCTTATGGTCTCGGGCACTTTCAAAACCTAACCTAACTTAGTATTGATATATGAGGGTTATTGTTATTTACAAAGACAAGCGACTTACTCGTATTATTATATCTATTAATATCTATTATTTACTTACCTCGCCTCGAGTATTACAAAACGACCATGAAGTACAATCTTCTCCCCGCAGCGGTATCCGCTGGTGTCAGCATCGCCACTGCGAGGGATATATATGTAGCTAGCTACGCCGGGCTCGTATACCGTCTAGCCTTCACCAGCAACGTCGACGGGAGCCATTCGTTACGGGAGGTCGGCTCGACGTTGGAATGTGGTCGCAATCCGGGATGGTTGGAACTTGATCCAGTAACAGGCACGCTATTCTGTGCAAATGAAGCTTATACGATCACCAACGCTGGCTCGGTGGCGTCATTCTCTAAAGAGTCTTTTTCAATACTGGGCAATATCACTACCGATTATGGTCCGGCACAATCGACATTTTATGCTCCTAATCGCTTAGGGTTGGCTCATTACTCAGGAGGTGCGGTATCCGTCGGTATGTATCAAAACATCCCACGTTGTTACCTTTTTGAAGCCGCCTTTCTAGAATAGTCCCGAAACCGCCTTTGTAAAGTATACAGTGGCTAACACTTAGTAGTAAGTGTGATGACTCTGACATTTTGATCTAATCGAAAAAAAAAGGTACAGATTATGGAATTGTAGTATTGCAAAGCTGACATGAAATGTTCTCATACGTTAGGTTGATACCTCGGATCCGAGTAACTTGGCCGAGATTCAGAGCTTCCACTACTTCATGGATAAACCTGGCCCCAACTCGACACTGCAAGATAAGCCGTATCCCCACGGCATCGTCGTCGACCCTACCGGGAGATTCCTAGTGGTGCTCGACCGCGGCGCAGATGCCCTGCGGACATACGCGGTGGGATGGGATGCTCGGCTAGTTGAACTAGGCGCGCACTACATCGAGCGCGGGAACGGACCGCGCCACGGCGTCTTTGTTAAAGGTAGCAGCAAGACGTTCTTCTACGTGCTCGGCGAGCTGACCAATTCGCTGCACGGGTTCGAGGCGGTGTACGGAAAAGACGGGACCCTGGGGTTCGAGCAGTTCTACAAGGACAGCGCATACCAGACTGGGTTTGGCGATGTCGCCGCGGTCGCGATACCGGCGGAGATCGCGGCGGCGGAAGACGGTAGACATATCGTGCTTTCTACGCGCGATGAAGGCCGGAGCATGTACCGCGGCGAGCGTAGTGATACGATCGCATCGTATAGCGTTGATTTTGACACGGGCGATCTTGCGCTCGTGGGGCTTACGGCGTCGGGAGGTCTGTGGCCGCGGTCATTTGCTATCAGCAAGGACGGGACGCTGTTTGCGGCTGCGAATCAACATAGCGTTCCGGGGCGGCTAGTTGTGTTTGCGAGGGATCCCGAGACGGGTGTTATAGATGATCAGTGGCCGCTGGTGACTTGGACTACGGATGATACGTTGCCTGACGGCCAGGGCATATCGCATGTTATATGGGATGAGTGACTGAGTTATCTACCTAGGTTAGGTACTTATAGGTTAGATTCTCGAGAAGTATAGGGGGTTTCATCTTTGAAGTCATTATAATTATTAATAGCTATGAGGAGAAACGGGAGAGTGAGTGTTAGTGATACTCTAATAAAAATTGGATATATATCAATTCTTTAATACTCATAATCCTGAATATGTATATAACCTATTTGAGTTCTCCCGTACGCAAGTATGAAAATAGTTGAACCAATGGAGTGAATATGAATAATAGCCCGGTATGTAATCGGCATGAATTTATTGGCACTAGTTGGCGGGTATTTATGGACCCTACGAAGCTTATGTAGAGGTACCCCTCCTGCCCTTAATTGCTTTAAAGCCTATCATTGAGCACTGAGCAGAATACCTAACCTGAGCAACTTCACCTTGTACATACCTAGAAATAAAATAGAACTGGCTTCTATAACTACCTAGACCCATTTTTCAATATCTCAGATGATACTATTATGTAGAACTCGACCACCATGACTGACTGGCGATCTGAATATCTTACTTCCCTGCAAGAAGCAGAGCGGAACAATCCCGTGAACAAGGACCTCGTCGAGGCTTGTAAGTAGCTTTTGTTCCACACTCTTGTGTTCCGCTTACCTGCCGACTATTCCTAATAAATCTCATTTCTAGGCTCCCAACTCGCCGATCGTATAGCCGCCCTCGAGGCCGAGAAGGTAGTCTGGCAAACCTCGACGAACCCCCTAACATCGCCGGAGACCTCGTCGGGAAAAGGCGTTGCGACAACTGGTGCGACGGATAGTGGTGCGGATCAGAGCGTCGCCCAACTTCGGTTAGACCTAGCAGAAGCGCTCCGGTCCAAGGGCCAGCTGCAGGGCAGACTAAAGGCCGCCGAAGACGAACTCCAGAAGCTGCGGTCCAAGGCGAAAGTCGATACTAAGCGTATTAACGATCTGACCGCCGAGCGTAACGCGCTCACGGCGAAACTTAAGGACCGCAATGAAGAGCTAGCCGGCAAGAACAAGATGCTTAAGGTATGGATAAAAGATAATATATGGGGGGCATGTGGGTATATTGGGTTGGGACTAATGCGTAGCGACAGGATATTCAGGATGAGAACCTGACTTTAAACATACAACTTGACGTCACCGAACAGAAAGCAGCCAAGATCGCAGCCGACAATAAGGATCTAATTAAGAGGTGGATGGATCGGATGAAGCACGAGGCAGACGCTATGAACCTGGAAAACGAATCGCCAAGCAGTAAGAATCGGAGGTGAGGTGAAAAACTAGCATACTGCTCACGGATACCGTTGAGCTTTATTGTATTGATGTGTTCTATTTATATAACCTAATACCGGTATTGTAAGTCCTTACCATTTGATCGCATCCCTTGGTATCCTTCGAATCATGCTTATCTATGCGAATGTGGTATCCTAACGCGCGCTCTCACCTACCCGTCCTCTGAATTCTATACATGGAAACATTGCTGACTTCTCTCCCCCTATAGACTGGTCGGCGTTATTATTTCCTGATGGAGATATAGTAGTCGCCTTCCGCAGCGGCCCAACTGACCCAGTTCTCGTGGTAGCGGTAATGCTGGACGTCAAGGATACTGTTTGCGACATCGTTAATAGCGGTTTTATTTTCGTGGACGAAGGACTTTAGCGATATGATCTTGCAGCCCCTTTTCAAATCCAAAAACATGTTAATAAGGGCATCGTTAAGAGTGGAAGTGAAGGCTTTGTTATTGACGAGTATTACGTCCGCCTCCTTCAACTTCTCCAAGATCTTGGCGTTGGTGCGAAAGTCGCCCCTCTCAAGATGAACCCGCCCATGCGCGACGCCCCAAAGGTGACATCTGGATCTGAATTCCTTCTCCTGAGCTTCGGCGAGATTGCAGGCATTCTCCATCATCTCGCAACCGTAACTCCGACAGCCGATCTCAAGGGCCGCTTGAAGTACGACGTTACCTACCCCAGAACCAAGGTCTATGAAAACCTGGTCGGAAGTCATTTTCGTCTGCTCGACGAGCAGCTTCGTGATGAAAGGGTGCAGCAGCTCTCCGTAGACGTTGTCGCTTCCCATCTCGTATTTCGTGAGCATCTCTACCTTCGGCGCAACCGTGCGATCGTATACTTGTGTGAGGATGAACGACACCAGACTGGGCGGAAGATGGTGCTGTTGCTCTAGGTTCTTCGCTATCGTACCATTCTCCACCAATTCTAATAGTTTGTCATTGTAGTTTTTAAGTGCTGCCCTGAATACCGGCACATCTCTATATTTCTCGCTTATTGCGCGTTCCATCTGTCTTCTGAAGCTTGCGTTGTGGTCGATGAAAGGTTTCGCTTCGTCATCGGTGAGATATGTCTCGGCCACGTGCTCCACGACTAAAAGAATGTCTTTAACAGCGTCGATCTTATCTTTCTGCCATACTAGCTCGTATCTTGTCTTATGTTAGTGCGTCCTGTGATGCCTTTGGAGTTTGATACCCTTACCTCTCACGCTTACACCGAGACGGATATTGCAGCTCTATCGCAACTTCTTCCGGTTTCGCGCCTTGAATTGGCGGACACTTTGTGGCGACCGAGGCGATATCCGCCGCGTGGATGATGCGTGGGTCTCTGATCTCATCGCCAAATGCCTTCTTATGGCGCAGCTTGCGATTTAGATCCACTGACCTTGATTCGCTACGTCGCAGTCGCTTTCGGAAAGGATCGCTATCGTCATCCTCCGATTCCGAATCGTTCCCGAAGGCGGGGGAGTCTCGTGGGGTACTGGCTATAGCTTTGCGCTTTCTTACAATAGCGCGCTTCTCGTCAGAAGAGGAAGGATATGGCGACGCGCTTTTAGGTCGTGAGAGGCGCGGATTTGGCGAGAGGCGGGGAGACGCGGAGTAATGGCTTGAAGACACGCGGGGAGGATTCACGGTTAAGCTGGGCCGCGGCTTGGTGGGAACGACGACTTTTTCTACGCGGATTTCCTGAGGTGCGGCCTTCAACCGGGATTTCTGATTGAAGATGCCCATAGCTTCTAAACGGTGGCGCAGGCGAGGGCGTTGCTATGAGCGGGGATAATACAAAGGAATACTAGTCGAAGAATAATGATCTGAGGATACTGAGGATACTGAATCTAGGCGTCTTCACATATATGTATGTACCTTATAAAATGCGAATGCGAGTGAGTGACTAGGCCATGAGAACTAAACGCAATGCACAAATGAATGTGGGCATACGCAATCAAGTCCAAAGAAGGCGGAAAAGAGGGTGTAACAGATACCTAGGCAACGAGGACAAGCAGAAGAAAAAAGATGGTCTGATTGATTGATTATTCATGAGGTAGGTGAGCCCCCCAAAGTCCTAGAATGACAGGTGCAGGTGCAGGTGCAGGTTGCAGGTTGCAGGTGCAAGTACAAATTAGGTATGAGGCGGAATCGGGGGTTCCAACTGTTTAGGTCCTGGGCCCACTTTTATCGATAACCTCAACTTTTGACGTAAGAATTAAGAAGGTTCTGTGCTGAAGCGGGCTGAGCGGGAACTACCTATGACGGCCTATGTTCAGGGTGGTCCACCCAAAAGCTTGGCGACCTGGTTGCCTTGCATCGGACAATTTACATACGGTATTGGTAAGACATTGTCCCCGCCTACCTAACCTCATTACGTAGGTACCTGCCTGTTACTGTGCTTTAACAGTTACCAATCACTACTAGGCACGTGCCTCACTTGAAGAAACCTATTAAATACATACCTATTTATCGTTCGGCTTAGGTTAGGTATATCTCTTATTCAGGTAAATAGCTTCTCTCCCTTTGGCTAATTATAAGGTACCTACCTATACCGCGAAAATGGATTGGACGCTATCTTTTCTGCATTTCGGGGTAGGAAAATACATATCAAGACCTTTAAGTCTATATGTCATCCTTGCTTTTAATGCCCCTTATACATCTTACAAACGACAGAGCAGAATACTCTGATTCGTGACAGTATCAGTATTAGTATGAATCTAGCCCGCGGGGATATTCGAGAATATTATGAAGCAAGGGCAACGAGCTCTTGTCGCTATCAATAACCATCAAACAATGACTTTAACGGAGCGAGGTTGTTAGGTAGTTTCAACTTTTTGTTGCGTATGAAAGGCTCCGTAGCCTTCAAAGGGCTGGTATATTCATACGGCTTACAAGATTAAGTTTCATTGTTGCTGCGGTTGTAGCCACGACTGAACTTCCTTCAAGGTATGGCGAAAGGGAGCGTTCCGAGTTGATAACGAGCGGATTATCCGTTAACCACGGAATAAGGGGGATTGTCTCCCGGAATAGGAAGCCGGTCCAGGTCGCTTTTAACCACTGCTTTGGCATTGTTGCTCGGATAGCAATGAGTAAACAACAATGATGCTTTATTCTCCGAGTACTAATATGGACAGCGCGGAATCCCCGTGGTTAACGCTTGTGGAGATATATTTTTTCCCTACTAACTATTTATCTACTATAGACCATTTTTAAGGTCATCATAATGTCAAAGCGAGGAATTATTGGCTTCCTTACAGCATTGGGCTTCACAGCTCAATTTACCAATGGCCAGCTCCAGCCCGACTGCAATCCGCTCCACGCGGATTGCCCATCAAAGAAGGCTTGGCCGCAGGAGAATTACTATATTGATTTCACCAAACAAAAGGGTCCTCCTCCGGACTGGACCGTTGCGAACTCCGAGGTCGTCGACTTCACTTCCAACGGAGCTGAGTTGTCATATGCAAAAAAGGGGGATGCACCGAATATGTGGACCGATTTCTACATGCTTGGCGGCCGATATGATGTCGAGATGAAGATTGCTCCGGGTCAGGGAGTGATTAGTAGTGCATCTTTATGGTCAGACACCCAGGATGAAATCGATTTTGAATTTTCGGGTAATCAATTTGGTCAGACGCCTTTCCCGCCTCGGGATGGGATGTGGGCTTTTGAAACCAACGTTTTCACGCAAGGAAAGATGTGGGACGGCGCAGCTACTTACCAGAAAGATTCATATAAGCCAGCAGAGCAGTTCCATAAGTATTCGGTGGAGTGGGATGAGGACCACATGAACTGGTATGTGGATGATAAGGTCGTCCGGAGTGTTCTAGCCAAGGATACTCCTAAGGGCTTCGCCTTTCCCCAGTCTCCGATGAAGCTCCAACTTGGTGTATGGGGAGGCGGAGACCCTAGCAACAATCACTGGACTATTCAATGGGCCGGGGGTGAGGTCGACATGAAACGCGCTCCTTATACTATGTATGTGAAGAGTGTAAATATTACAAACAAATACCCTGCTTGCCAGTACAGATATAAGGATAAGGTATGTTAATCACTCATAGGTTACGGCAGTCTTACTAACAACTTACAGAGTGGGAAGCAAGCTTCCATCGAGAAGATAGAAAACGGCTGTAACCCTGAACTTGTGAGAATGGTCAAGAAGGACCCTGCTGCGAATGACTATCCTGTCAGTTCGCCAGAGTTGGTGGTTAGCGAAGTAGAGTCATCTACTCCTGCTAATTACCCTACGTATGATGCCAGCTCGCCTTCTATTAGCCAGTTACCTACTTCTTCTTCCCAATCCCTCGATACGTATCCGACTAGTTTGTTGTCTAGTAGTGATGACTTGCCTATCTCTTCTACTGTCGAATATCCCACGTACTCGGCTGGCTTACCTTCAACTAGTGATCAATCAATTTCCTCATCGGCAGGATATCCTACAAGTGAGATAGGGACCTCTAGCTTCCAATCATTGACTTCTGTTGAATCTGACTACCCTACGTCCTTGGTTGGGTCGTCGTCTATTGCAGTCTCGTCGTCTGCTTCCTCACTCGCCGAGACTTTCGAGACGTATCCCGCCATAAGCCCACCGTCCGCAAGCGTATCATCGGCTAGCAGCTTGAGTCTTTCATCTGTTGGGGTACCGTCCTCATCGACGGCTGATGTATATCCTACTCAACCGCTAACTGAATCTGGGACTGTGTCGGCACAGACATCGGCTACAACGGCCCCCGGAGGGTATCCAGTGAGCTCACCGACTACTAATAGTGGAATTCTAAGTAGTCTAAGCTCACTATTCTTGGGAACTACTACTAGTAGCAGCGCGTCGACTCAGGCCGACTCCAGTGTAGTTACAGAGTCTAGTCCTACTACTGAATTGACTGAATCGAGTTCTGCTCTGGTTGTTAGCTCAAGTGTTGACGCAGCTAGCTCTAGTGCTTCTTTAAGCTCGCAGGCACCTGGCTCTAGCTACCTAGCTTCATCCCCTTCAGCCTCGTCCGCTTCGGTTTCATTCTCTTCAGTAACACAACCTGGCACTTCGAGCGTAGCTAGCGGCTCCATTGTCTCTTATTCTGAATCGGTTGGAAGTAGCTCCTCGAGCGAAATAGGCGGAAGTAGCAACACAATTTCTACAATATATTCGTCGACCGTTTACACTGTCACGTCCTGCGCACCGACAGTAACTAATTGCCCTGTAGGTAAGGTTACTACAGAGTCGATCTCGGTATCGACAGCGATATACCCTGTCAGCCAGTCAGAAGGGTCTCAACTAATTACGTCTAGCACTCTTAGCAATACTAGTGTTGAGACGCAGCCCAGCTCATCTGCGACTGTATCATCAGCGACCATTTCATCCGCAGCTGTCTCCTCCGTAGCCAGCTCATATGCAACGATCTCAAGCGGGTCGGCAGTATTACCTACGACTGAATCAGGCATTTCATACTTTACTTATCCAACTTCTGGAGGCCCGTTATTTTCGCAGACATTACCAAGCACATACAGCGTTAGCAGTGAAATTACTACGTCGATATTATCAACGGTCTACTCAACGAATGTTGTTACTATCACCTCATGTGCTGCCTCAGTAATGAACTGTCCGGTAGGCCAAGTCACCACCGAGACGATCTCCGCGTATACTACCATTTGTCCAGTCACGCAAACTATCCTTGATGGCATAACTTATGGCGTAGCAGAAGGGACAGAGGCCACCGCTTTGCCGCCGCCATCATCACCCGCTTATCCAATGAGTTCCTCAAGCTCAAAGCCAGTTGAATCGGTATCGTTATCCGGCTCTAGTAGCCTCTATCCCACAATCAGCGTGATAAGTTCAGCAACAATAAGTTCTCCAGTGCTCGGCTCTAGTAATATTTATCCTACAGCTAGTTCGGGAATCTCTGTCGGATTTAGTTCTTCGATAATTAGTTCGAGTATTATCTTCCAAAACTCCACGATATCGACCCCTGAGAGTATCTCTGAAGCACCATCTCAAACCTATCCAGCTTCGCCCATTCCGGTTTTGAGCACTGAAACTAGTATGACTACCTCGACAGTTTATTCAACTAATATCTATACTATAACTTCCTGTGCGCCTGGCGTTGCGGACTGTCCTGCTAAGCTAGGGCAGGTCACGACAGATCTTATCTCGCTGTATACGACTGTATGTCCTGTTACCGAGTCGCAAACCACGATCGACGGAAGTTCTTCGGCACTCCCGGTTGCTACACAGACTTCTACGCCGGGTCAGACAATTTCCTCGTACGCTACAATGAGAAACTCCACGTTAGCTGGGGCTATTCCTAGCCCAAGTGTGTCTGCCCCAGTCCAGTCAAGTGTTACTCAAGAAGTACCGTCTTATTCGATGTCTACTGAGTCTGGGCTTCCAGTTGAGTCCAGTATCAGTCAAGCTGCGTCATCCTATGCAACATCTGCGCAATCTGAGACAGAACCTACATCATACACAACGTCGACCATATACTCGACGAATATTTACACTGTCACGTCTTGCGCTCCGGGCGTGACTAACTGTCCCACCAAGGGCGCAGTGACAACAGAAGTTGTTGCTGTATCTACTACGGTTTGCCCCGTGGCGGATAGTTCAGAAGATACCCCGGGAACTACCGTCTCTGCCGTGGAATCCCAATATACAACCACTGCTATCACGTTCAGTGATACCGTGAGCGGTTCGGTTATTGTAGTAACAACGACTATCAGCTTTATCGACACACCTGCACCAACTTCGTATTACCCAACTCAAGCGATTGGCACGTCCAACACTGCAGGGACCGATGCTATCGCGTCGAGTTCGCCTGGCGCGTATCCAAATATAACCAAACCAGGCACAACTGTGACTCTCGGTAACTACTTCACCACTGTAATCGAGTATGACACGATCACTCCTGAGGCCCCTGCCTCTGTATTGTCTGGGGCTACTCCTACTAGCTACTACACAGCATCCCAAGCATCTGCCGGCGTTTCGAGCTATCAGATCAGTGAAGCCTCCAGCACTGTGGGAACAGCCGCCACCTCGGTCCCGGTTGCTGTTAGCTCGGCCTCAAGGTCAGTTTCTCTGTCTTGCTTTTTCTTGGTTGTCTGCGCAATTTTCATTCAAACCTTCAGAGGGCTTGTAAACTGATGGTAGTTCCTATTAGCTACCCCGTAGCATCGTCGCAGACCGTCCCTGAGAATGCACCTGGCGAGTCCTCGTATATCGGTAATGATCTAACAACGGTAACCTCCCCCACCACGGATACTCGTACCGTGTTCGAGACACGATATCCCGAGCAGTCGGGCACGTGCGCGTGTGAACCCTCGACTGTGACTGTTACCCAAACAGTTGCACGAGTCACTGTAACGAGCACAGCCGAACCGTTTATCGCCAGCACTTATCCTATGAGTACTGCTCCTCTCGGCACAGGTGGAACGACCATGAACGCTTACCCGATGAGCACGCCGGCTGCGATACGAAGATGGTTTAGGCGAGGTCATGGAAATGGTGGCGGACATGGACACCAATGAGGTGCTAGATTAGACGGATGAAGTAGGGACTTACATTGCATTGTATACCTAGGTACCTGGTAGTCAGTATATATTTCATGGTATTAGCCTAGGTGGCAGGTACCATGGATAAAAATTATTGTATAGTATTAATTTCTAGCTTCCGTTCATAAGAGATCTGAAAGATTCTTGATTATCACTTCGTGAAAGTGGTTTATATGCTGTGCGATGTTGTGAGGAATGAAAATGTCTATGTCTAAACGGGGAAGATTGGGCGCATCTTGGAATATCAGTCTAACGGATATGGTACCCAAGGTATAAAGCGAGAGAGACACGATTGTGGCACTACGTAAGCGTACGACCCATGAAGCGTGCTTTTCACAGCGCCTCAGATTACGTGGAGTCGAGTTTCTGTTTGTCTCATTCGCGCAAAGTTCTTACGTGATACGACTACAGCTTTAAATGCGTCTTAAACACGCGAGCTTCGGCTGGATTCGGTAACAGGGTAACTAAAAAAGGCATCATCTGAGAATAGATGGAAATATTGGACTGCTAGGATGAAGTCTTACCAAGTATTCTATCAGTAGGTATTCGTATCTCAACTCTATGTATGTCCGCTTTTCCGCGCATGTCACCTTGAGGCTTAACCAGGTTGTTATCCCCTATCCCTCATCTACAACCGATGGGTCGGTAATAATGCATACATATACCCCCCCTATGTACACCAATACAGTGCCTAGTCGGTTGCCCCGAACTTTGACATACCTTGGTATCTAAATATAACTATAAATGCCGAAGAAAAAGCCGCTAGGATGATAGGAGAATATGAAAACTGACAGGCGAGACAGAACCCTCATCACGTACACGTGTAATCTACAGGTATAGGTAGTCTGACCGAATACTGGGTGTGCAAGCTAGACCGTAAGGAGAATCCATAAGAATTCTGCGCCGTGGCTCAACTTATATAACAAGCAGATCCTAGTCGTAGAGTTGCTGTCATATTATATCAGAGCCGAGTCGAGACAAGAAATGTGACAATAATTATTCTGGCATCAACATATATATGTGCAAGTAGTGCCAGCAAATCTCGAGAGTTTCCTCCCATCCACATCCTCGGATCATAGCCATGTCTGGCGTTCGCAATATTACGGTTCCATGGGTACCGTTAGACGAGTTCGATTGGTCGTTCGCGCGCACCGGCCCGCTGCCCTGGAACCTGACGGTCTGGTATGTAATATGTCAGACCCAAAACCCACGATATGTCCCCGCATGGCTGTTTGATAGGGGCTAACGGATCATACGATAGGTGTCTTCTCGCCGTCTTCACGTCCCTCCCAATCTGGATGACCGTCGAGCTGACCGCCTGGGTCCTCTATGCTTTCGAGCGATGGAGCGGGATTTATTTCTGGTCCGTTCTCGCTACGACGTGGGGCTTGACGATCCGCGCCATCGGTTTCCTCCTCAAGTTCTGCGTGCCGCAGGCGAACTGGATATTGACATATGTGCTATCCGAGGTTGGTTGGGTCATGATGGTGACTGGTTTTAGCATCGTCCTGTGGTCCCGGCTACACCTCGTGATTTCGCCAGGCACGCCGATCCTGCGTATCGTGCTCGCCATGATCATAGTCGATGGGTTCTTATTTCACGTGCCAACCGTTATATTTCAGTACTTTATATCCAACGCAGCGACGCATGCGAAATATCTTCCCTACATGAATGTGATGGAGCGTGTCCAGGTCTTGGCATTCTCGGTGCAGGAGACTATCATCTCCTCCATCTATATCTGGGGAACGGTGCAGATGTTCAAGTTGTCACTCAACGCTAAGGCTAAGAACACATTAGCATTTCTTATTATCGTCCAGGTAGCTGTGGTTCTGGCCGACATACCCGTCATCGTGCTCGACTACTGTAACTACTTCACGCTTAAGGCCGTCATACACTCGTTTATCTACGCTTTTAAACTACAGATAGAATTTGTCGTTTTAAACGAATTCAAGCATCTCGCCAACGGCGGGATCACAGGTGCTAATGGGTCCTTTGGAAGAGGATCCAATGATTTCTCACAATTCCATGCTGGACCTCTAGATATACCGAAAGGGAACAGTACTGGCGCATATAACAACTCGGGCGTGTCGGTGGTTGTGTCAGCTGGTGGGCCGCCATCGTCAAGAGTAAATCGATCCGATTCATCTGGGACACATGGCCAGCGTGCAGAGCAACCCGATGCTCTTGAAGCTCAATACCTAGGGAGGTATGGTGTGGCTATGTGACCTTTATACACTCGATCAGTTTTATAGATTCCTCCACTATTATTCCAAGTTAGCAGATACCCTTTATGATAACAGCATATATCTTTCTCTATACCTAGGTATGGGTCTTGAGTGCACGGAAGAGATGTAATATAATGTTGTATCTTGGAATTTATAGATTTCGAGTGGCTTCCTATTCCAATACTCTAAACCCCAGCTAGCGCTGAACTTCCTTAGGATGTCACTCCTTTGACGTTAAAAGTTGTTCTGGGCATCATCTCCTAGGGTACGCTGTTATTCCCCATCACTATATCTCGTTGTAGGTTCGGCATATAAAACCTCGGCACCCGTCTTCCCATGTGGAAATGGTGGCCTGTACGGTCTACCGGAACGTCGGTCTCGGAACTCCTATTAGGAAAGATGTTCGGATATAAGAGCAAAGTGATAGATAATCGGGCAGAGAAGACGGCAACTTAATGTAATTACTCGGACATCCTATATACTAACGCCACCTCCATGTTCTGCTATCAAAAACCATAATACGAAAAATCAAATGGTGCCCAACCAACCAGGAAATATTGCCCCTTTTACGTTAATCAGACTCTATTCCGGATGTTAGTTTATGAAGTACGAACCTGACCTAATGCGCATTCTCGCCAAAGTGAAGGTTGTACAGAATACTAATATGAGAGCTATAGCGCCTATTATCCTAACAAACTTGATAGGGGCTTCGGCTTTGGCTGAGACACTTAGGTCGTCCCTCTACCGAATCATCGAATTGGTATAGCAGGAAGAAATAGCCCTTCACCCTCCCCCCAATTCTACCTATCACGGTATCAATCTTGCTCATCTCTAAAAAATGCATCTTGGATACCTTTTCGTGTTCGACTCTTTCTACAAAAGGATGAGGGTATCTGTCTCAGGGGACAAGTGAAGCTAGTATGAGTTAGGTATAAATATATGTAGGATAGATATATAAGGGGCCTCGTAAGAGTATAGAAGGTCAAGCGTTGATATATTCATACTACAACACGGCTACTACATACAGCACCTTCGCTGCTGCTTCTCAAATTCACTTTACGTGTGACATCCATCAGGGGTATCTCTGACACTCTTTAGAAATAGACATAACCGTTAACACCAACTCTTCAACACCGACTCTAAGAGTACTGTGCCTGAAATGAGATATCTGATTTCTCTTTTAGTGGTTGCGGTATTGTTGCGAGATTCCGTATCTTTGTACTTTAATGTAACAGCAATCTGAGCAAGGAACAGCTCCTCGACACCTGAATGTTGGCAAATGAACGTATCGTTCAAAATATCCTCTAAACCCGGAACAGTTGGGGGCCTTATGACAACTCTAGGCAATGTCTCAAATGTGTCCTACTATATCCTCCCACTCCAGTACTATTGCGGCTTACACAATGCGCCATATGTACAGTAAAGCATTTCCTGCTCTAAAAGCTGCGTTACATAGGCAGTTTAGGTATCTGGTACTAATGCAAGTTGCTTGGCTAGGTGGGTTTATTTCGCTACTGGATTGGCATACATCACGCTCCCCGATGATAAAGATGCCAGTGCATTTGTAAATGGAGAAGTGCCCGAACATAATGTGCTACACATAGGTCCGTGTAACTTTTACGACGTTTCTGGAGTTCGTGAAGTCGCATTGGCTTAAAAGAATTGGGACTGTCTCAGGCAGAAAGTTGAGGCCCGGGCTGTCAATTTGTTACTTTTTATTCTTCATTGAACGTCTACTCTATACCAGAGAGCTATGTATACGGACGTACATAGTTTAGGCATCTCCTAACTAAACGTATTTCATCATAGCTCATGATACACCCTAAACAATCACGACATGAAATCATCTACTATTGAGAAACGTATATACCCCTATAAAACTACATCTTATCTCTAATATCTTCTTAGTTCTATAATTTTAGTATTGAAGACCTTACCCTACTTACCTAGGTAGGCAGGTACATAATACTGATTCACATAAGCACCTGATTAAAAGCCTCTCCGAAGTAGTATACCCGGTGGTTTCTGACTTAGCTATGGCCAAGCTAGCTGTACTACTGCCGCTTAACTACTGCGTTATGGGAAGATACCGCGTTGTCCTGGCCTCTTAAAACATCGTTCGTTATATGTTAAGTTGACAGTCAAACTAGAAATAGTTCTTGACAGAGGAAACCCATCGTGTCTGGCCCTAAGATTCATTACATCAACGAGTTGGCGCTAGCTGGTTGGTAAATTTTGTCAGAAAATCCACCAGAGTATCGCGCTGTGCGGATGATCATTAGCGTCTGATAATTCTGGAGTAAACCCCCCGAGTTGGACTAGGTAAACGGTCGCAAAAAGAATTAAAAAAAAGATTGGTAACGAGCTCAGCAGGAATCGAGCTTGCAATCTCCAAGGAGTGGGAGACCATTGATGGAACCGGAATCTGGCGCCTTACCATTATGGTTACAATTGAATAATTAATAGAACTATAATATGATAGTTCTGGTCAAGTACAGAAGGTTGGAGCTGAGTGAAGCTACGAGACGACCCCGTCTTAGTGGTGGTATTAGTATATTATATGCATTTTGACATATAAGATTTATATATGAAGCTCCTATATACACTACCTAGAAAATGACAACTCATTCAGCGTTAAAAATAGGTCTAGCCGCTACGATATTACATTCACGATGGTTTGGGTACTTTCAGCTTTGCAACTACTGACTTTTTTCGATTCGGGTGCTGTATCGATCAGGCTCGTTCACACAAACTCATTCACAATTTATAACCATGTTTATGTCTTGAAGGGTGTGTATTCTCTAGGAAATGAGAGTAATCACCGTGTCATTCATTAAAGAGAGTGTATTTTACGCCTAGCATCCCCAATTCCAACAGAAGGAGGTGCCAATACCTTCACCAGCAGATCCAACATCACGAACCCCTTTTTACTGCCTCACCAAGTGAACTTTTCTTTGACCAAATCTTCGGATAGATTCCATAGCCTCTCAGCCCCCTCGCTTGAGGTTGAATAGGAATTCGCCCGATCAGAAATCTGGCAGTCTATAAGGTAAACCCCGTGGTTTTCTTTATCGCCCTTGGTCTCAGGAAGGCTCAGTTTCGGATCCAATGCAGCAACAAGGCTTGTTGCTGATCCTGCTCCTAGTGTTTTAAAGTAAAGATGTCCCTCTTTCTTCCAACTGTCGATTAGATCTCTCGTGCTTTGTGTAACTTCTCTGGCCAGTTCTGTACTTATTACCCCGGGGTGCAGGGATATACTCAAGATTCCGTACTTCTCATACAGCCTCTTGTTTAATGCTATACTAAACAATACATTCGCAACCTTGCCCTGATTGTAACCTTCAAGCGGCAGGTACGCTTTTTCTTCAATATCCACCCCTCCCCACCGTCTATGCATCTCGTAAGGGGGCTGTTCGTCTTCAGGGAGTTCTTTGCTCTTCTTTTCGAAGTTGAGATCACTCCATCGCATACGAGCAGATACTGGAGAAAGCGAAGAAACGTTGATGATCCGGGTTGCCCCTTTCGGGTTGCGCTCTGCCGCCTTGAGAAGTTTCGGCATGATCAAGCAAGTGAACAGAAAGTGTCCGACGTGATTAGTGGCAAACTGTATCTCAATTCCATCTTCGTTGATCGTGCGTTCGGGGGTATTACCGATGGCGGCACTATTGACGATGATATCGATAGTAGGTATATCGGACCATGATAGAAGTTCGCCAGCAGCGGCCCTAACAGTTCTCTGTGTGGAAAGATCGAGAATAAGAGAGCGGTAGTCTACATTGGGAAATTCAGCCTTGAGCTTGTCGATGCACTCTTGAATCTTGGATGGAGTACGGCTGGCGAGGATTATGTGAGCTGGATATTGAGAGGCCTATGCAATGCGTTAGAGTATTGAGGGACAAGCGAGAAGGATACCTACAAAAGCTTGTACAGTTGTAAATCCAATACCGGCAACATTCACACCCGTCACAAGTACCGTTTTACCATGAATCTCCCCAGCAAAGGCCTTGGCAACATCCAATGCCTCTGTATGATCATTGAACTCAGGATGGGTTGTAGCAGTCATCTTGGCGTTGGATTTGTCTATCACGTTGATTTAAGTAAGTCAGTCTTTAAAAGTTGATATGATCTCAATTCGCGGTGGGTATTTAGAATTGCTACTAGTAGCCTCTTGTCTCGAATTTGCTTCTTATTTATATTCTCGACTTTATGTTTTCTTTGCCTAATACGCGCATCCCTGGAGAAGTTGAGAAAATCCAGTATGCTTGCCCACGGCCCCCATTCGCAATGGTCTTAACGGAGTTTATAGCTAACGCCTAAGCAATAATAACCAGGGATATAGGCTGTTAAAATAGACATGTCTTGCGAAAGAAGAAATCTTGGGCTTGTATTCTACTAACGATTCATATCTCCGAGAGTCTTGTAACTTAGTCTTGGCTTATATGTATTCGATGGTGGATTCGGAATTAGTGGGCATACTATTAGATAACCCCGAAATAGTTGCATATTACTCTTGCTGCGTAAAATGGAGATAAGAATCGGAGACCTTAGGAGATAATATTCCAATATTTGTCGTCTTTTATAATGGAATGATCTTTGAAGTCTGTTGTGAACTATCACGGCCCGTAAATATAAGGTATATATGAAGTCATTGTCTAGATCGATGATTTTTCCATTCGCTATTGCGCTCGGAGGTAGTATATAGGTAGGTACCTACATATCCACATACTCATACACAAGCTGCCCCAGATGGGCAAGCAAAACTAAATAGATACATCCTCAAAGCAAAAGTGAAGCTATTGTCCAAGGATAACGCCAAGGGTATCCACGCATTCCTAGGTACCCAAATCAGATAGGCTTCCCGAATTTCCCCCTTTCAAAACGCCGAAATCTAAGCAACCCATTTTCCTGTCTCAATCGGCGATATACCTCGCCCCGTCCGTAGTTTCTTTATATCCCCGAAGCCGGGACCTACTTATCAACGACCGAGACGCAGTGTTGCGACGGCATCGTGTTGATACCCTCCTGCTTCAACCTGTTGGGCCCATTCGGGCGCGATGTTTTCACGAATGTCTGTTTGACAACACTTGTGGCGGCATAAGTGCCGAGGAGCGTGTATACGTTCTTTTCTGCTGCGTTCCGGATACAACTGGAACGCCGAGTTCTATCACTCCAGAGTTATGCCGACATCCGTCTGTGGAGAAATACGGGAAACTCGAAGCCGTCTTCGAAGCTCAGCGCATTCCTCCGGTGGTGAGAGGGAATGTGGTACATGTCGTAGGCGTCCTCATCTTCGTCTAGGGCTGATTCGCAATCGCTGAGGGCTGGGCTTCCGACCTCAAATGAGAATGTTTGAATGTCTTGTGATGCCGTGTTCTTTTTGCTTGGCGCTGGAATGGTGATGGGCTTGGTCTGTGTGGTGTAGTTGGTCTTTTGCTCCATCTCTAGGGATTGGCTTTGTGTATATAGTAGTGCTTGTTGTTGATATGTATAACTATTGAAGGTATATATTGAAGGTATTGGCTTGTTGGTAGATGTGCTGGATAGAAGAAGAAAGGTCTATCCATGATTAGATTGATCTGATTATATACCTGATCTATCTAGATCGAGTGATCAAGATCCCCAGTTCATACCGACAGGTGGTCTGAGAGAGTTTATCGATAAAACTATAGACACCGAGCCATTCTCGTCTCATAAGAAAACTACAGAGGGTTTCAAAGTCATTTTGTGATGCATTCGAATGCTCTCCGAAGTGCATAATAATTGAAAGTGGGTGCGAATGGTGTGTTTTTTGAGCCAATGAGTTGACGATCGTACGATCGGGACAACCCGGTCGCCTGTGGAAGGACGACGAATTCGCAAACAAGCCGCGCAACGTCAATTACATAATTTAACCGGGCCACTAATCATCTGGGGAATCCTGGATTCTCTGAGGCAATTGTCTGGACTCGTCTAGCGGGAGGCGATTTCCAGTGATCCCCTAAATGGTGACCAACCAGATTGATGAATAAGAGCTTGGCATCTCTGTCTTATCACATAGTTGTTAAAAGATTTACGTAGTAGGACCTATAACCTCCCTATCTAATTCTATGTAATTGAATTCTCACCTAATAATGACGATACATGTTCATCTAAATATGTGTTGCTATAAGTAATATATATCATCGTCATATATACCTAGGTGCTTAACTACTCAATGGCATTGAATACGCTGTCTTAATTATGACATCGAGAACTCGTTATCACTTTTAATGAAATACCTTAGGTAGGTACCTATGTAAACAATCCATCATATCCGCCTCTTGGCATCCCACAGAAAACCCATTGAGCTCATATGGACAAAAAACGACAAGTCCATAATATTCTTAGCAAACCCACACTTCAGAACTTGTATGTATGCTGTGTTACACGATGTGTCGGTTCTTTAATATCGAGTGTGAATATGGCCTGCTGTGCCAGATCATACATCAGGTGGTTGGAAATATTGCATTTCCGAATGTTTGCTGGTGCTCCACATGTGATTGGAATACTAATGAACGAATGCAATGTAACTTTGGACGGAATCAATGGATCGTATGCATTCTATCACGTCGGATGGCCGCGGCAAAGGCTGCATGGCATATTGTGGGTTACTCCGAAGGTAACACCATTAGCCTGGACGCTGCAGACTTCTACTGCATATCTTGCCACTAAGTGTTCTAGGTGTTCCAATTTGCAAGCGTTAAATTAATTTCCCTGGAGATAAACCGGCCTATAGATTAGTCTTCACATGGCATCGAATAGACATACGTAACCTAGTGGACTGTTCAAAGTTGAGGATCGACGATCCATCTAGCCCCTGAATCCGCATCTAGCGCTTTGCAAGAGTTACGATAATACTCAACATCTCACTGTAAGCATTCTGTGCTTACTGGTTTAATAAGAGGTATGCTATGTAGGTAGGTAGCAATCGGAAGCGGAGAAGATGTCTGGAGAAGTACAATATCCACGTATATACAATTACAATGTGTCCGTGGAATACTTTTTACTACCCCCTTCCCACCCCCTTCCCACCTTTATTAATCCTACTCTTATCAACGACTCACCTGTACTGGGCGAAATAGAAAGATATGTAATAACCACAAAGTTATAGTCTAATAATCGTTTCTGAAATCTAGAATAATCATGTTGAAAGCCTTGATTACTACCTTGCTGATGGACGCCCAAATACTACCTAGGTAGCTTTGCTTGAATATACCTTTGATTTTGACCAAGTGATTCTTTTCCAAGCTTACCTTGTTCGTACCTGTATGTAGTGCTGCTTATCTATATTTGAACGGCGGATATATCCCCAAAAGCGACGCGAAGACTTGCTCATAAGACGTCTCAACATATACAATATTACAACTAGAACAAGAGAATTTATTGTCACTCAAAATTCATACCAAAACTGTGGATATGCTCGAGGTTCGCGAGATCACAATACAAATAGCACATGATGGGTTTAAGAGTGGTAAGTTTACCGCCAAGGAGCTCACCAGCGCATTTCTTGAACGTATCGCAAAGTGGGATAAGGCCGGTCCTCGGATTAATTCGACGATGGCTATGTCTGCTACGGCACTGGAAGAGGCGAAAGCTCTCGATCATTATTTCAAGGAACATGGAAAGCTAATGGGAAGACTTCACGGAATTCCTATATTGGTGAAAGACCAAGTACGGATATCCTTGAGAGGCTAAGAGATATTGAGCTAATTAGAATGTTTCCTCTAGGCGGACACGAAAGGAATGGTCACCACATATGGTTCAGCTGTTGCGAAACATAATGTCCCCGACGAGGACGCGTTTGTGGTCACTAAGTTAAAGGAAGCTGGCGCAGTGATTCTGGGCAAGACTACACTCGCAGAATGGGCTACAGTTTGGTTTAGTGCGAACGGCGCGACAGATTACGAGTTCACTAAGAACCCTTATAACCTTGGCTACGATGTTGGAGCATCATCCGGAGGCTCTGGTGCCGCTGTGGCTGCAAACTTCACTGTTTTAGCTGTGGGAGAAGACACAGGTGGCTCTATTAGGGTCCCGTCGTCCTTCTGCAATATCGTTGGTCTTCGTCCAACCCCTGGCCTTATCTCGCGAACAGGCTTCTGTCCCCTGATAAAAGTGCAAGATACACCAGGGCCGATGGCACGAACAGTTGCCGATTGTGCGCTTATGTTAGACTGCATGGTGGGATTTGACCCCAGAGATGATTTCACGGGGTTTGCAGCTACTGCGGCCGCCCTAGGCCTACCAAAGGGCGGTAGCTACGCAGCTTTCCTTGGAGACGGAGTAGGGAAAATTAAGAAGGCGAAGATAGGGGTTGTCAGACAAAAGTTTGGCCCAGATTCTGATCCATATTGCAAAGCAGTGAACAGAGTGGTCCTGGCAGCAATTGATAAACTTCGGAGCAGCGGCACAACCTTTGTCGACGTATATATCGAGAACCTGGACCATTACATGATTTACCCGCTGACATATCTCCAAAGGTCACGTAGCGATATCAATAGCTTCTTGGCAACGAAGCCACATCTTCCACAAGACATTGCGGATATTATTCCAGAAAAATCGGATACCCCCTATATGAGTACGCTATGCGCCGTAGCGCATGGCCCAGAGGACCCCAAGAGTGATCCGACTTACCTTGATCGAATTCTGATACGGGATGAATTCAAGCGCAAAGTGGACTGCCTCATTGCATCACTAGGTCTTGATGCGCTTACTTTGCCGGATGTTCGAGTTCCCCCTCCGCGATTTGAAGATGCTGTAAACGGCAGATTTATGAAGAATGGAGAGGAAGACTTCCCAACCAATACATATCTCGCCAGCGTAACACGCCATCCGGCCATCTCAGTGCCAGCTGGGTTTACAGAAGAGGGACTTCCGGTTGGTATGGAGTTAATTGGTTTGGAATATCAGGAGCAAACCCTGCTCGAATTGGCTTACGGGGTAGAAGCGATAATAGGAGGGAGGAAGGCCCCGCCAGCGCCATTGTAACGATCATTGTTAGTGAAGGAGACTTAGTAATTATATGTAAGAGCATGGCTTGGCTTATGAAGCTATGGCATACTGTAGGGTTAGATACCTTAAGTGCAAGGGAACCTTATCACATACGTAGGTAGAAAGTGGGTAGTAACAGAAAACCGCCATGACTGTGCCTCATCGTGATGGCGCACCGGACTCCTTTTTAGATACTGTTAAGTCCGGAGAATCCCATAAACTCCGGACCCCCTACATATATGTACCCCACCAACAAGATATTCTCAATCATTTATAAACGTAACGTTCTTTCTAAATATTGTTAGGTAACTCAGATTAGCACGGCTGGTTTGTTTATTGCAGCACGATTACAGTATGGTATTATCAACAGCCATCCCTGGCGGCGGCCCGGACGGGTTGCTTCTTCCGAGTCAGGATCCGTGGTATACGGCCCCGCCCGACTTTGAAGCCTCTACCCCTGGAACTGTGCTCCGGGTTCGAGCTGTCCCGGGTGGGCCGACTGTCTTCAGCAATGCCTCTGCAGCCTTTTATATTCTATACCGTACTACTGGCTCGCGATACCAGCCAACCTGGGCAGTGACGTAAGTAACCCAAGTCTCTTGTTCAGTATAGTACCTTAGGTAAGTATCTAACCACCTAATCATTGACTAGATCTCTGATTATCCCCAAGAAGCCCTTTGTCTCGCCATCCGGGTTCAATGCCCTGCTTTCTCATCAGCTTGCGTATAACTCGCCGAGTATCGATTTCGGGCCGTCATACCGTATCTTCCAGCCGCCGCCTGCAAATGCGTTCGGCATCCCCACCAATCACGAAAATGTTGATACAATGCTAGGCCGTGGTTGGTTTGTTACCATTCCCGACTTCGAAGGACCCCGTGCTGCCTTCGGCGCGACAGTTCAAGCAGGCCATGCTACGCTCGATGGAATTCGTGCTGTGCTTTCTCTGTGTGGTAATTCCGAATTTTTGCTCTTACCTACTAGCGCAGACAGGTTCAAGTATGCGATGTGGGGATACAGTGGCGGCTCGCTCGCTTCCGAGAAGGCCGCTGAGCTACAAGTCCAATATGCCCCTGAGCTATCAATCGGCTTCGTCGGTGCCGCGTTGGGTGGTTTAGTGAGCGATGTAGGATCTGAGTTCAGCTTCACTAACAAAATGCCCTTCATGGGAAATCTGGTCTTGATTTTACTGGGTATTATGAACGAATATCCCGAAGTTGATACATATCTCCGTAGCCGCCTTAAGACTGATGGTCCGCAAAATGCCGCTGCCTTTCTTAAGGGCCGCGAGATGGATTCAATGCAGGCTTTCCAAGCATATGCCGGCCAGGATATCTGGGGCTTTTTTATTGGTGGTCAAGCCGACTTTGAGGAATCAGAAGCCTTGCGCAGGATCAAAAAGGTTGAGTGGACCCTTGGTTTCCACGGTGCCCCGGAGATCCCGCTCTTCGTTTATAAGGCAATCGACGATGAGTTTACACCTATTTCTGACACGGACGATCACATCGCCCACTACAAGCGGTATAACGTCTCTATTCTATATGAGCGCAACACGGCCGGTGGTCATATTTCTGAGATCGTAAATGGTCAAGACAGAGCATTGGAGTGGTTGAATGGTGCGTTCAGCGGCTCGCATAACAGTACAAACCAAGGAGTCGAGATTCGTGATGTTACTGTGGATATTTATAAGCCCCCTGCTGTTTAAAGTCGCACAATACTCTCTTATAGTGAATATTTAACGTCTATTCGGCTAGAACGGACTATTATGTATAAACCTTTAGGTTATCGAATCAAGACTATTATCCCATATACCCTCATAGCCACAAGGAATATTATATCCTTGAAATAGTTACACCTGAGTTGATATATATATTTAATGAGAATTTTATAACACCGCTGCCTTTC